CTATAATTGTATGGGTATGAAACTTGGTCTCTCGCATCCGGGGAAGAAGATACACTGAGGGTGTTCGAGAACAGGGTCCCGAGGGAATATGTGGACCGAAAGGGGAGGGAAGCGACAGGAGGATATGACCCCGTATAATGTGGTAGATCCTTGCCGACGTTTCGGGAGAAGGTACTGCCTCCAGCTTATGCCCGTAATTTTGGTAAGTATGCATCAGACTAGACGGCTTCACATTAGAGAACTATTAAAACAAAACAAAGTCCGTGGCTTTAGTCCGCAAGTGAACTATTCCGACCGAGCGACCGCCGCTTGCCAGCGAAGTTAGTGCCAACTTTAGAGGATAGAGAGTGTCACATGGTCAGCTCAATGAATCCCCATGGCAGTTAATTTCGGTTTTCTAGACCGGAGCCGCCATTTCCTTGAAATAGCTCCTCAATTATCCTCACGAGGCTGAGTGGACCCCGTTCCAGACCCACTATTTCTCAGAAAATCTGGTAGGGGTGGGAATGCAACCCGGGACCTCTGGATCTGTAGCCAGGAACTCTGACCACTAGACCACAGATTCGGTCTACCATTCACTAAAGATTATTAGCGTGGCCGCTTCAAGGAGGATAGGATGGCCGGAGTATCAGAAAGAAGAGAAATGCACACAGAATTCCAGTCGGATGATGCATGACTTGGAAGACGCAGGAGAAGGTAGGAGGGTATTATTAAAATGGATCTTGAGCGAACAGAATGTGAGTATATGACGTGAGTGGTTGGCTCTTGTGAAGGCTTCCATAAGAGACGGAGAATTTGTTGACGAGGTAACCAACGTCGAGCTTCTCTGAAGGATAGGAACTGCGGCGGGCCTATCACGCGTTCAGGCGGCTCTAAAGCTGCGAATGAAAAAGTAGCTGGACCATACCGGCGTCCACCTCAGGCGCGGGAGCTGTGCACTATGTGCTTAGCTGATACCGTCATGACTTTCTCCGCCCTTGACAGCATAAAGCAGAGTTCGCTGAGCATCGGTCTCAGAGTCACCCAAAACCAAACTTCTATTAACTTAACCTAAATTTCTGGATGCGACTGACAAATCCTGCATACCAGCTACGCACCACGTGACATAAGTGCAATGTGAGCGCTCCCAAGCTTCATGCGAAAAGAAACCGCCATAACAAGTTCAGAATGCAGGTCACAAGAATTTGTCGCTTTCTACTGGTTTTGTCGGTATACAATTCTGCGTAACTTTACCCTACATTAGAGCTGTCGCCATGACAACGCGTCTCTCACTTATTCATTGGTTTATTTAAAGCTTGTTGCTATGGCAACTTGTTTCCGTTACTCTGATTGGTTGGTTTAAAGCTCAGTCTACTACAGGCGTCTTCACGTCTCTCAGCTAAAACTTAAAAACTATTCTGAAATTAACTTAACCTGAATTCTACTAGTAATTTCTTCAACTTCGCGATCTGATCGTACATCCTCCTCAGTGAGTTCTGGGCGCGCCAGTGGCACTGGTCAGGCTGTCTGCGCAGAAGAGAAACTGCAGCGGAAATTGCCAGAATCTTGCAGAAAATTGGCTTCAGCAATAACCGTAAGTTGCACATTCATAATTTATTAATATTATACTATTAGTATACTATTAGTGTTTGAAAGGAAATTTCTAAAGATCTTCGGGCCATCAAGAAACCATGATCGCTCCTGGAGAATTAAAACAAAGGAGGAACTAGATAATCTAATAAAAGGAAGGAACACAGTTAACTTCATCAAAGCCAAAAGAATAAATTGGCTTGGACATATCTCAAGGATGGAGGCTGGACGAACAGTTAAAGGAATATATGACTGGCAGCCTCACGCCATAAGAAAGAGAGGCCGGCCTAAGATTAGATGGAAAGATGACGTAAGGGAAGACCTAAAGGAATTTATAACTGGATAACTCGGACACAGACAGAAGTAGTTGGAAGGAAACTGTTGAGCAGGCCAAAGCGTTCAAGAAATGGAGCTATNACTCCATGACTGTCGCCTGCGCACTGCAGACATGTTTCGGCATTGTCCTTGACCTTGCAGCATAAGGGCTGCCACTTGCCGGATCATGTGCACACCATTCGACTCAGCACGGCCCACGGATTATTATGTCGTAATTGTGAGCGGTTATGTGCATCACCTGCGGAATTATTAGCAAATTCATCGGGCCGGTTCTATACGCTTCACCCTGTATTATTAGAATTCGGTTTGCAAGCTTCACGTCCAATCAGCGATTTATCAAACAAATACTGCTCAATCCGACATCGACGTAACGTAAAATATAAAAAAATGTAAATTTAAAGTTTCTTATTTCATATCGCGGACATATTGAATAACACCAAAATAGTCTATGGAATTACTCCATACTCTTGCCAATATGTACGGCAACCACAGCTATTAGAGCGATGTGTAAATATTGCAGGAGAATTTCTAGACGCGATTCCAATCCTCCTTTTCAAGCTCGCCTAACTTGCCGACAGCCACTGCTGTTTTTTTTCTATACTTACTTCTGTGCCCTGAAGATGGAGGCGATATACTCCGCAGAAACGTCAGAATATCTCTGAACCACATGGCGTTGGCAGCCGCCCCCCAAATACCAGCAGAATAGATGATATGTATGCCACGACTAGTCGGTAGTTACGAAATTTTTTTCTCAAGGGATGCGCGTTGCTTTGGTGACGGGGATGGGGAACACACCTCGGGAGTTATGAATTACCGATCATTTTACTACAACAAAGAGTAAGCATTTCTAGTATTTAGTCAAGTAATGATTACAGTTATATCTGAGGAGTTTATAATGATCCTCCATTAAGTTCGCACTAAATTTCTTAATCGATTCCTCAACTCCTCCACGTAGATATCTCTCGCAGCAGTGACTTTAAATTTCGTAGCTATCGTCATTATACAGGGTGATTCATATAGAACCGGCCCGACGAAATGAGCTGTAATATAAAATATACCATACAGATATTAAAGTAATTTACACATATCTTATCTTGGATTGTGTGTCGTGATCAGAGCAGGCGTTGAAAGTGTCCACCGTTTTCAAGTAGGCATTAGAAGCACTCGCTGTTCAACAGTGAACTCCATGACTGTCGCCTGCGCACTGCAGACACGTTTCGGCATTGTCCTTGACCTTGCAGCATAAGGGCTGCCACTTGCCGGATCATGCGCACACCATTCGACTCAGCATGGCCCACGGATTGTTATGTCGTAATTGTGAGCGGTTATATGCATCACCTGCGGAATTATTAGCAAATTCATCGGGCCGGTTCTATATGATTCACCCTGTATATCACTGTCTATCTTTCGAGACTATCTGTGTGAGCGATTACTTGTAACTTAATAACTTCCTAACTATGTGACTGTCTAGTCTAACTGTTCAACTGTATCGAACTCTATCTCACAAACTAACTAACTAACTACCCCTTTTCTTAATATCCCTTCAGTATTAAATTTGGCGAGGAGATGTTTACCTTTAAACCTTGTCAGCTTTCATGGGTTCATGGGTTTCACCACTGTTGAAACGCACTACCCACCGCCTCACAGTGCCGATCTGTATGGATGAGCTGATCGAGGCGCTGTTCATCGTGAGGAGTGGCAGCTGAGCAGGGACGCCCAGGGCGTGGCTTTGTCGCGCACTTCACTTTCGCCACTGTTGAAACGCACTACCCACCGCCTCACTGTGCTGACATCCACTGTATTGTCTCCGTACACCTTTAGCAAGCGTCGATGGATGTCAGTGGGTACAGTTTGTTCGGCAGTGAGAAATTCAATAACACATCTGTGTTTACTTCTATGTCAGACACCATTTTGGTAGACTGCTCTGCTGTCGCTATCTGTCGCTATCTGACAACCAAACTAACAGTACTTTGACGGGAAGGTTCAACCTTTACTACAACACCAACAACATCCATCTCAGACGTCACATATTAACACAAAAAAATAGGAGGCATTATTTACGGAACGCCCTTCGTATATACATAAAGTAAGTAAAGTAAAGGTATCCCTGTAACAAGCCGTGGAGGCCCGTAGGATTGTGAGATGTTGAGGTTCTCACATTTTCTGAACAATCGGCTTATAGATGGCGGCAAGGTAGTCAGCCTTAAGCGCAGGTTGCCTTTTACCCCCAAGAATATTCCTGGTACTCATTTCTGTTAGAAGCTGAGTCAATCCCAGGGCCATACTGCGGCTGGAAGGATTAGGTCAATTGAAAAAATCCAATGGCCTAATCGTGACTTGAACCCGGGGCTGGACATACCAACTCACCACGCCTTATGTACCTCTCAAGTGTCGAGATAACGAGAACGCTCTGTCTGTAGCTGGCTAAAAGTAGCGACCCGCCAGCTTACAAACGCGGTTCACATGAGGGCGTGTACGGGAATGAAAAAATGGTCACAACTCCGTAACCGTCCAAAATCGGACACATGTTTATATGAACTTTTTTGATCACAAAGACATAGGAAATCACCTCCTGCAGTTATGCCCTAAAGTCGTGAAACACCCTGTATATAGTATATGATATTCACTGAGGTCACACGGTAGCGTAGTTGGTTGAGGCACCATGTTACAAGCCGGAAAGTCGCAGGTTCGATTCCCGATGAAATCACTGGATTCTTCAATGGACCTAATTCTTTCAGCCACAATATGTCCCTGGGGTCGACTCAGCCTCTAACAGAAATGAGTACCAGGAATCTTCCTGAAGGCAAAGAGCGGCCGATGCGTGAGGCTGACCTCACCGTCATCTGTGAGCAGATTGTCTAGAAAATGTGGGAGCCTCGACGTATCACAACCTTATGGGCCTCCATGGCCTGGTACAGGGGAAGCTTTTTCTTGCCCTTCTTTTCCATAACCATTCAAATTGAACTATTATGAATTTCTAAATAACTCTGTCGCCACCAATCCGTTTGTGCTAACAGGTTCCACCACGCGAGGGCGTGGGAGCCTTTACAATACCAGTACCTCGATCATAAACATTGGTCACTGTGATACACAACTTCGCACAGACACAGAAACATATGTTCGGGGAACAAGCACATTTTGTGAGACTACTGCGTGAGATTATTGCAACACAGTGCACCGCTAGAGCTCTGCACGAGCTGGTTGCAGGTGTTAGCAGCCGGGTCTACAACCAATATTCTCCACGCCGTCAGCTGCAGCCATTTTCGCGAGAGATAATTTATAATAACTTCTAGAAAGGTATATTCTATATTTCTCTGCATACTGGATGGGAACCGGAAGCTCATAGGACAATAAGAACCACATGATTCAGTTACCTATGTCTGTGCACTGAATTTCAAACGTTACCGCTCGAAACCTAACAACAATTTCATCAACATTTTGGTGAGTTTAAATTTAGGTGGTGTTAAAAACATTTTCCTACTTTGAAGGTTCCCAGGCAGTGTCCGCTCTTCCTTCTGGTACAGGTATGACTGAGGGACGGGAAAGCGTTTGGAAGTGAAGAAGGAAGCGCTAGGGAGTGAAGTTTGTTATGAGCAGAGGAAAGGAAATTTGAGGAGGGGCTTAACAGCGTGTGATCGGAATTTTGATATCAACTTTAGAAGGGCTACAATGGGGCGAAATCTTTATTTTGGCATTGGGAGGGCCACATCTGAAGCCTGAAGTGCAAAGTGGAATTTGGGTACCAACTCAGCATTTGCTCTAGGACCGAGAAAAACCACAGGAAACCTTGGTCGTGTTGGCCGGTTGCATGGAACTTTCGCATGTAAACTGACTTCTAGCCAGCAGACCAGCATTAAATACGCGAACCCTAACGTCAGTCCCTATCTGTGGTGCCGCTCTGTATTGATAATTTTTACAGAGATTTATCTTATAGAGTTTGTCTCATGTGTATATTTCGTGCAAGCAACGAACACCTTTATGTGACGTGCAAGAATATATATATATATATATATATATATATATATATATATATATATATAAAGGTAAAGCTATCCCTGTATCAGGCCGTCGAGGCCCCCACATTTTCTAGACAATCGGCTAACGGATGGCGGTGAGGTTGTCTGCCTCACGCGCCGGCCGTCCTTCACCCCCAGGAAGATTCGTGGTACTCGTTTTTGTCAGCGGCTGAGTCGACCTCAGGGCCATAGTACGGCTGGAAGAATTAGGTGAATTGAAAAATCCAATGACTTCATCAGGAATCGAACCGGCGACATTCTGGCTTGCAGTATAGTGGCTCAACCAACTACGCTACGCACGCCTCCATATGTATATATACACATACATATTAATATTTGTGATTAATCTCTGGGAGATTTACGAATGTTTTATGAGGACTGTCGCTCATTCAAAAAACGCAGGTTCGTGTATCAGACCACAGTGCAGTCTTATTGCTGTCCGTCTCCGTTTCTTCGGTTCCCCAGCTCGTCGAAGTGACCGTCGATGGACTGGGCCCTCAGCGAATCATTCCAGCATTCGGTTACTATATAAATATTCATAATACAGGGTGAATCTAATAGAAACAGCCCGATGAATTTGCTAATAATTCCGCAGGTGATGCATATAACCGCTCACAATTACGACATAATAATCCGAGGGCCGTGCTGAGTCGAATGGTGTGCGCATGATCCGGCAAGTGGCAGCCCTTATGCTGCAAGGTCAAGGACAATGCCGAAACGTGTCTGCAGTGCGCAGGCGACAGTCATGGAGTACACTGTTGAACAGCGAGTGTTTCTAATGCCTACTTGAAAACGGTGGACACTTTCAACACCTGCTCTTATCACGGCACACAATCCAAGATAAGATATGTGTAAATTACTTTAATATCTGTATGGTATATTTTATATTACACCTCATTTCGTCGGGCCGGTTCTATATGAATCACCCTGTATTATATCCTGTTGAATTAATCTATCACTTGTTACTCACTTTCATCTCTAATGCATTAAGAAACCGTTCACAGACTCACCTTTATTTTATAATGACATTAAAATCACATTCAATTCAACATGTCTGGCCTTACAAGGCAATCTTCAGGCAATTGTTTACCAATTGAACCGTCGCACTCTTCTAGTTTGCATGACAATTCTTCAGTGCCATTGTATAACGCTCCGCGTTAAACAAAACACAGGGAATATGGAACATGCGTACATTGAAAGTAAATATGGAACAAATAGCAGATACCACGAATGTCATAAGGACAGCAAGGAAGGGCACAAATTTGAATACCTCAGAGAAATATCAAATTCATAAGAATAACTTGCACGTGAACGACACATACAACACCATACCTCAGACATTACAGAACTTTACGACAGATAGCAGCGAACACACGTCCACCAGGGCAGGATGAACGATGTTCAGGCCTTTTTGTATATACGTTATTTTTTTTTTCAAAATCGAAAGGAAGATACTGTAACGGATTTGACTAACGCGTTGCCAAGAAACAGCTTTGTAAACACGGTTCATCACGCAACAATAGGACGATTGTTTATATCTCGTTGCTATGCGAAAGTCAGCGTACCAATGGACTGACAAAATAGATATCACGTCGTGTCATCAACAATGGAATTATTTCCTACGCGGTCCGTGCTGCGGCTATATAACGAGAACTGTGAGCGGGCAAGGACCAGCAGCGTATACAAAAGACAGGCCCGTCCTCTCGTCAGAGAAGGCGCTCCACAGAAACAAGACCGTAACTGTCAAACGATAATAATTAATATCCGGTCATGAGCCCCAAATGGGGCTCGACACCAAGACTTACTGACTGACTGACCGTCAGTCGCAATGTAACTCTGACTCTGACTCTGACTCTGGTCGAATACCCCCCCGTGTGGAGGCGTGATGGAATACCTCCACCGTAACCCTGCGAGTCGTAAGAGGCGACGAAAAGGGAAGTCTCAAATCTGAGACAGTAAAATATGGTAGCAAGTCCCAAGCGACTCGGACCCGAAAAGGACCGCGCTGGCAGGAGCCAGCAGCATATATGGGGGACAGACCCGTCCTCTCGTCGGAGGGGGCGCCTCGCAGAAATAAGACCGTAACTGTCAAACAGTAATAGGTATCTGGTCATGGGCCCCAGGAGGGTGCTCGACGCCAAGACTTGCTGACTGACGGGCCGTCGGTCGCTGTGTGACTTTGACTTTGAAGGGAAGTCTCAAATCTGAGACAGTAAAATATGGTCGCGAGTCCCAAGGGACTCAGACCCGAGAAAGACTACGCTGGCAAGACCCAGTAGCATGTAAAAAAGACAGACCCGTCCTCTCGTCAGAGAGGGCGCCCCACAAAAAACAAAACCGTAACGTTCAACAGTAATACATATCTGGTCATGAGCCCCAAACGGGGTTCGACACCAAGACTTACTGACTGACTTATCGTCAGTGGCGATGTGACTTGGACTTGGTCGAATACCTCCACCGTGACCCTGTGCATTGTAGGAGGCGACGAAAAGGGAAGTCTCAAATCTGAGACAGTAAAATATGGTCTCGAGTCCCAAGGGACTAGGACCCGAGAAAGACTGCGCTGGCAAGGACCAGCAGCATATACAAATTAAGAAAGAGGGCTAGAAACTATGCATTCTGCCCACAGAATGCCTTCATGTGTTCCGCATGATTCTCACGTTAAGAAACCATTATTTACCTAAAGATCATTAGCCGGTTGGTGGTTGTCATGATGACGGAGTGTCTTTCCTGTGAGGTACGGACTAAGTTTTTAGCCTACTTTCCTAAAGGAGGGGGCTTATGCGATCCCCTTCCTGTCTGTGTCGCTGCTAGGCAACGAACGGGGTCTTCTATTGGATGAGAGGAGGGATCGGCCGTTCAGTGCAGGCTCTCCGACTGGGCAGAGCAGCGGACCCCCCCTTCATCCCTCTCAGAGGACAACTGAACGCTGCCTGAAAGAGAGACAGAGGGAGAAGAGAAAAAATTGGGAGGTTGTGAGGGACATTACTTTTGGGGGAAGGGGGACAAGAAACTACATCGCCGGTTTTGAAAGTTCCCAGGCAGTGCTCACTCGTCCTTCTGGTTGAGGTGATGCACGTGATCGGAATTATTTTATTTTTGGATATGACGTTGGAATGACGTTGCAGTGTAGTGAAATTTTGGTGTTAACATTAGGAGGACTACATTAGAGCGAAATTTTGTTACCATTGGGAGGGCTGTGTGTGAAGCAAGCAGTGCAACGTGAGAATTTGAGCACCAACTTAACATTTGCTCTAGGACGAAGATAAACCACGGAAATTTTTGATCGAGTTGGGCGGTCGCAGGACCTTCCGGATGGAAACTGACTTCTAGCCAGCAGTCCGGCATTGAATACGCGAACCCTAAGGTTAGTCCCGCTCTGTGCTGCTGCTCTATTTGAAAAAAATAGTTTATATAATTCTTTTTACAGTTGTATATAACATTTGCACATACATGCACACAAATATACACATACACACATATTTGTGTTGTCTGTATTGATATAGTGATACTGATCAATTTCAGCCAATTGTTTCCTCATGTGTTACTAAAGATTGTCGTGCCGAGCGGATTATCTAGCAAGCAGGGATAAGGATGAAGATATTTACCACCTACCAGATCGTATTGNGATCAATTTCAGCCAATTGTTTCCTCATGTGTTACTTAAGAGTGTCGTGCCAAGCGGATTATCCAGCAAGCAGGGATAAGGGATGTAGATATTTATCACCTACGAGATCGTAGTATCCTAGGTCTTGAATCTGGCTGTTTTCGCTGGTTACCGACTTCCGATACAGTGCCCTCGCTAACCTCGTGGCATAACTTCTTACTAGTGACATTCTTATCTTGTCGCGAAGGCAGTGCACGCCTTAGACCGCTCGGCTACCGTGACCGGCAGTGTATAAGAATAATATATAAGAATTCAGTTCGTACCTCACAGGAAACAGATCCGAACCCACGATCCCGGCTTCCAAGCGAACGAAGACAGTGCATGCCTTAGAGCGCGCGGCTATTGTGACCGGCAGTGTATAAGAATAATATATAAGAATTCAGTTCGTACCTCACAGGAAACAGATCCGAACCCACGATCCCGGCTTCCGAGCGAGCGAAGACAGTTCATGCCTTAGACCGCTCGGCTACCGTGACGGGAGATTTATAAATTACTAACGCTAAATTAATGTCAATGGTGGAGGATTTGTTTAAGATAGGGAAGAGTTGCTTCAGCATGTAAGTAGCTTTGCGCAAAGCACAGGATATGTGGGTTCTGTACGTTAATTTTGAATCGAGCGTAACCCCATGATACTTTGCTTTGTCAGAGCAAGCCGTGCAAGCTATGTATTCATATAGATCAGGGGTCTCCAAACTTTTCGAAACGCGGGTCACATTAAGTATTTCAGCACTTTCCACGGGCCGGATAAAATGAGAAATTAATAACTCTAGGTATGTGAGTTTTATTGAAAGCACAGAGTTACATAAACTAAACACAAAGTACGTGAGAATAAATTATCGTATATTAATGACAACAGACAGTAGCAGTAAATGCTCATATTTTCATCACAAATTATAATAAAACAATTAATGTGAATGATGGAACTTTTTTTGCATTCTTAAAATCGGTCCAGAATTAGTAAAATTGTGAATAATATTAATATTAACATAATATGGAATATCTAAATATATTTAACACAATTAATTAATGAATTTGAAATCTATGAACAAATATTTTTTTTACCAGGACTTAATGAAAAATTAGTTCAATTGGCGCATTTCTGCACAATTCTTTCGCGGGCCGGATAAAATCACATGGCGGGCCATAGTTTGGAGACCCTTGATATAGACGCTGGCAAATCTTTACTGGACGCGTACTGCGGCGATAGTGGAGTAATCGTTTGGAAAATAATGTAAATACATTGTATTCGTGTCATCAGAACAGACCGACATGGCAATGTTGAGTCATTTTCAACTGACGAAATGTCGTTATATAAATACTGAAAAGTTGGGTCTAAGTGAGCTACCCTGGGCACCCCGGCATGAAAGGGACGTAGGCTTGAACAAGAGTTTCTGTGCATTACACATAAAGATCGGTTCTGGGCACAGTTGTGTATTATATGAATGAAGTGAGGTGGGATTTTGGCCGCAAGAAGTTTAGCAATCAGCCCTGTGATCCAGACCTTGTCGAATGCTCGCCCAGTATATAGGAATATTATCACTGTAGCTTTGTTTTTGTTGTTGTTGTTGTTGAAACCGAGCGTAATGAGCTCTATGTTTCTTAAGAGTGCATGTGTTGTGGAGTGGCCTGTTTTAAAACTGTATTGGTTGTTTGTGATAACTTTCAGCTTCAGAAGTTGGAAGTTTAGTCTTTACAAAATGGTTTCATCAAAAAGTTTACATAGATAATTTAGAAGGCTTGTTGGTCTATAATGACCACCCCTGTTGTCTAGTGGTCAGCGTTCCTGGCTACAGACCCAGAGGTTCGGATTCGATTCCCGGCGCTACCAGATTTTTCGGAGAAATAGAGGGTCTGGAACGGGGTCCACTCAGCCTCGTGATGATGATTGAGGAGCTATTTCAAGGAAATGGCGGCTCCGGTCTAGAAAACCGAAATTAACGGCCGTGGGGATTCGTTGCGCTGACCACGCGACATCCTCTATCAGCAAATGTTAGCACTAAACTTCGCCGACAGGTGGCGGTCTCTCGATCGGTATAGTTCGCTTGTGGACTAAAATCACGGAGTTGGTGGTCTATAATTTAGTAGAGACGTGTGGTCTTTACCTGGTTTCGGAAGCATAATAATTTTTGCCTCTTTCCATTGTGTAGGAAAATAATTTAGCGCAGGTGATCTATTAAATATTTTGAAGAACGCCGTCTTCTGGGATGTGGTACCATGTAGATCTTGTGTAAGCCGACGTTTCGGAGGAACATATCGCCTCCATCTTCAGAGTAGAAAAATCCGCGATCGAGGAACCAGCGCGAGGGGGTGGCTGCAGACCTCAAATCTTAACATATCAAATATTTTTGGCAACAATTTTGAGAAGGTAAATGTAAGGTAAAGGTATCCCTGTAACAGACCGTGGAGGCCCATAGGGTTGTGAGACGTCGAGGCTCCTACATTTTCTCTAGACAACCGGCTCACAGATGGCGGTGAGATTGTCATCCTTGCGCGCCGGCCACCTCTTACTCCCAGGAAGATTCCTGGTACTCATTTCTGTTACAGGTTGAGTCGACCCCATGGCCATAGTGCGGCTACAAGGATTAGGTCAATTAAAAAATCCAATAACTTCATCGGGAATCGAACCTGCGACCTTCCCGCTTGTAGCATAGTGCCTCAACTAACTATGCCACCGCGTACATCCGAATCTATAGTGAAAATTTGTTCTGAGGCATTCGCAAAGACGTGTAATTTTTCTTGAACTGCGGTCTCATTTTTCCCGTTAATGGTAAAGGGCAGGATATTACGTATTTGTTAAGCTTTCAGTTATCCTCCAGGGGTCTGTCATGTTGTTGGTGTCGAGCCCTTGTAAAGTTTTCTGCCAGGTGTTCGATAACTGTTCCTTGATTGCTGAATCTATTTTCTCATTTGAAGAGTTAACGAGATTGCAAAGAGGAATATCATGGGTTCTTTGCCACTGCGTCCAAGGCTTGTTCCTTCTTTTTTTAATGGAAACACGAGTGGAGGTTGCAATCTGCATTAGTTGGAAAGTTCTCCTTTTCACCGGTATGGCATAACGTGTGGTGCTATTGAGAATGTCTGCAACGTGCTTAACTGCTACATCGATTTCCCCCCCTTTCACCATTTCTTCTTGTCCCCTTCTGTAGGCTTAAGAGGGACGTAACAATGGAAACAGTTTGTAGGACGGGTTGCAACTCAGTTCTTACGTAATTTAGTTTCGCTCCATTACAGGGCTTTCTCGACAGGCAGGGGTTATAACGCCATAACTTGGTCTCCTGAGCCTCGTTTTCCTTCCTACTGCTTGTTCGCACACATCCGATGGTGCAAGGAGACCTCATGTCAAGAAATAAAGTAATTCAGTTAATGTGGGTCCAGAAATGTCACTTGGTTTCGCAAAAGGAGGCCGGATTTTACAATTAACGTAAATAAAGTGTTTCCTGCACTGTAAGTAAACTTTCTACTGGTCAGTACTGTCGCAATGACTTAGTTGGCCCTTTTGTAGCGTGAACTGTGTTTAAGTGCTGAGTTCCGTCAGCATTGGGCATATATGCAGAAGACTTAGGGAAATACCGTATTTACGCATGTATAAGCCGCGTGCGTGTATAGGCCGCAACACAATTTTCACACATAAATTATAGAAAAAAATAATTTTCTTGGAATATTATTTCATGAGTAGAACACCCTGTATTACTAATTATGAATATATATTTTTTTTTAAATGAAGTGTGATTTCGAATATAAGCCGCACCCCAGTTTTCCTCTTGAATTTTTGGCAAAAAATGTGCGGCCTATATATGCGTAAATACGGTAATCCCTGCTCACTATGAGAGCCATACGGAAATGAGGGGCAAAATGTAGAGATCTGCGATAAAGACGATGGTGCTTATAGTTACCACTGTGCTGCAGTGTGTTACTTCATCTTTATTTACTTGACTACCAGTACGTCAATGCTGTTACACCAACTAATAACTTAAACATTAATTTATCAGTCATAATTCCTCGACACCAATAAGGATCGGTCGCCAAACCCTCGTTTGTTCAAAGCACAGGCTTTGAACTGCATGCGCAAAGCCTCGAAGTATACAAATAGTGTAGTCATAACGCGCCGTTAAACACAGTGTCCATTCTATACCATTGATAAAGGAAGGTAGTGCTTAATAACAACTTACCACTGTGTTTTTCAGGTGGCGGAGATAAAGGAGGGCCATGTCGGTACTGGTACGCATGGCTATTGACCGCTACGTTAATCTGGTGGACTCCATTAGCGGTGAGCAATATCCCCACACAGCTGTAACAGATCAATAAGAAGTTCTCACGGTGACGTCTACCTTGTAGAATGTGACGCCGTGTACAGCGGTAGAAGTTTATCAGCATCTCAAAGGAAAGTTCTCGCTCCATTTTCAAGGCGAAGAGTAGCCAAGCTCGCAACAGGCAAGCAGATTACGCTCTTGGTACTTGCCGCTTGCTTGATTTTGACTTCGCCCTGAAGATTGAGGTAGTACTTTGTTCCGAAACATTGGTAAACTTCTAACAGATTACACCGCTTCACACATACTGTCCTTTCATATGTTCGTATTTAATATATTTATGCTAGGAACAACTTCATTTCAGTACCATATGCGTTTCATCCAGTATTAAATATATTGTAGCATGTTGTACCGTTGCTATGCAACGATCGAAGTAAGGAATATGCGTTGCTTGGTAACGGTCAGTAAACAAGTTCCCCCGAAAACAATATCCAGTCTATCGCTATGTAACCGCCGATGACAATAGGATTGTTGGAGGCGGTGTTTTCTGTTGGGTCCGCCCCGAGGTTATATAGTGAGGGCCCTAGTCTCGCTGAGAAGTTCAGTTCAAAGACAAACCGGAAGTTAATTACAATTTTCTCTTTGCCGCCATGTTGCTTGTAAAATTCCAAGCAGAAGTGCCTTATATTTTCGAACACCTATTACCATTCATAATTTCAACATCCCAAATTAATTACCGTTCGTGTCCCTCCCACCTCAGAAGCTGACGCAACCATCGTGTTGTTACTACTAGCAACAGGAACAATAAAGCAACCTGTTCGCGTTGTCTCTGTTGACCTAGCGTTCATATTCAATTTCGTGGATTTCGATAAAGCTGGGATGGCAGAGAGCGTGCTGGTCCCATCAGCCAACTTTCTTTTCTCCAGGAAAGGAAAGTAGCCTAAAGAACGGAGACCGCAAAAATGCGCTTTGTCACGGTGATCACAAAGCGAGGCAAACGCAATGCAGATGTCAGAGATGAACTGAGAATGGCGCATGACAATGCAACGATTATGGAAATGTAAAGAACGGGTAGTACACGGATTCCGTCAATTTCTACAGATCCCAGGGTCAACGACTGGCCCCTCATGGAGAGCCCCTTCCCCACGATGGTGATTGTGGCAGGGTACCTATATCTGGTGGTCGTCCTGGGTCCCCGCCTCATGGCCAACAGGAAGCCATACCAGCTCAACGCCGTTCTAGTCGTCTATAACGCCGTTCAAGTCATCTTCAGTGTCATCATGCTGTGGGAGGTATGTAGCACGAACAGCTCAGTTCGCTAATCCTCTGAAGCCTCAGAGTTACTTTACTGCGGGCCGTTTACCGCCAAACAGTTCGTCTTGGCGCCAAGCACCTTGAGACTCAAGGCCAGAAATTTGTTCAACTGAATGAACCTTCACGGTCACAGTCTTTATGTAACATCCTCTCTGACGAGAAGATGGGGTTATGCTTGGCGTTTTGTCAAGTGTACGTATCGCACATATGGCATGTCATTGAAAATTCTCCCTTTTGCACTATACATAAGTCCTCTGTCAGTGCAGACTTTGCAGAGCAGATCATGCCTAGCTTACCTATCTTATGCTACAACGGCAGCTTATCACTTGAATGGTCGTAAGCTTGACAACCGCCAAGTTTAAGCGTCTTGTATTTTCTGAAGCCTCAAGCTTGTCTGAATAACATTTAACAATTCAGTTCCTACCTCACAGAAAACACTGAATCTCCGTTATAAAACCTACCGATGTTGCTTATAGTGAGAATCATACAAAATACATTCACTGCGTGGACAAAGTACAGAGTTTTGGATGTTGCAGCAGGAGGTATGCGTAGTTACCACACTGTGCTGTAAAGCGTCACAAAACTTTATCCTCCAATTTAGATTACGCATGTAATGGACACAGCAAGTTTGTTCATCCAACAAAGCTTCTTAATTGTATTCGGGAGGTAACCTCTTCGAATCTCGGCCGCTACAGTATGAGGTTGTTCGTGGTTTTCCTAAGTCCCCTCAGAATTCCGGGACATGTATTTGAAACAGGACTACTTCCCCACCAATCCTTTCAATTTTATCCCACGCACATCGTCTGTCAGTAATACGTGACATACCCTGTAGAAGCAGCAACGGTTGCATAACCAGACTCGCTTGTGAACACGAGTGGCAGACAGTCCTTTGTCTAAGCGGCCGAGACCGTGAAATGCTACCGGAGACCGACCTTGAGAGAAAGTGCATATAAGAGTGAAAGTGAGTCCTTAAGTGTGTCACGAAACTACTTACCCACTGAACTCTTACGCGCATTCGATTACAGGGGAATGAAGTAACCTACTGACCGAGACTAGGCGACGGTGTCGTGCAAAGTAAGTCTGTAGCCCCAGCACAGTACGGCATCCTTTCTGTTCCCTATCGTAGACCGAATTGAACATGCAATGCCGTCATGAATTTACTCCGTACGCTTGCTAAAGCGATAGGCAAGTGTTGTAGTCGAGTCTTGCATGCGGCTGCTTATTCATTCACAGAATTTTTTCTTTGATTACATGAATAAATTAGGAGTCAGGATAACTCAGTCGACATAGCGACGGGCTGGAACGGCCAGGGGAAAGATTTTTCTCTTCTCCACCGCGTCCAGACCGGCTCTGGGACCCATCAGTCTCCTATCTAATGGGTAACGGGCGATATCTTCCGAGGGTAAAGCGGCCGGGGTGTGAAACTGACCACACACCTCCAACTATTGCCGAGTTCAAGACTGGCTCTATACCTCCACTCTTTCATATGTCTTCATGATATAGTGTTTAATTTATTAATTACCTTATTATTAATTAATTATTAATTACTTTACCTTTCTTTTAACCTTGCATGAATAAACTTTAGTTTCTTAACTTCATTAAAATTTCAGCTGTGATACTAACAATGAAAGCAGCCTCATCCCGGTATTTCTGTTTGTTTCTAAACGACTAACGACTCGTTATTGAACTCTGGTTCAATAAATTCATGTACAGCGTGAATTAAACTTGCTCATTTTTCTGTACTATTTCAGTAATGTCAGCACTTACATAACACATCTAAAGTTCTAGAGAGTAGCTCATTTTAATTACAGATCTGCGTTGCATGTGAGAAGTATAGAAAGAAGTATCAGGGCAGTGATTGCTTCAGGACTGCTAGAAAGAGGGCGGTGCGCTGTAACCACGGTCCATGCACTTCCTGTAACCCGTGTCTCACTGCACTCCAGCAAATTCACTACGCATTCAATTGAGAACGGCCAGGCTTAAAATCATGGACATGACGCCTGCCTCTCCTAGCTTCTTACTTGACTTATATCTCGACCATGAAGATGGAGGCGGTATGTTCCTCTGAAACATAGGGTTCTCTCCGAAATGCATGGTGTTACAGCCCAGAGGGACATACTTTTCACCAGTAACTAAGGATCCAGGTCGAATTAAGCTTGTAATTTAAAAATTCTTAGAAACGTTATATTAATACAATAATGAATTTCTTGGACATTATCCGATTTTTTTTATCGGAGACAGCGTTTCGGAGCTGGACTCGTCTCCGTCTTCAGGTAAGAAATATATTCAGCTGGGCCCAATCGATTTTTGCAATGCCACAGGTGCGAGGGGTCACATGTGTCTTTTTACCTTAATTACCGCGGATGGTTTGCCTTGCTTGGTTCATATACCGTGTGTTGTGTTACTTTTTGAGCCTGAACATAGTGACTAGCTCCACTGATTGAACTCAAAAGAGCAGGATTCCTCCCTGAGGACGGAGGCAGAGTCAAGAGTCAGAAACATAGTCCGAAATGAAACTTAGGATGATACTGAATGTCCGGAAATTTAACGTTTTAGGATTTGGGGTCACAGTGACCGTGATGAAGAGTTTCATCTTCTCGGATATAACGCTGTATATTCTGTTGAACGTTAACCGACGTTTCTTAGGAGCATCTCGTCGCCACCTTCAGGGTCGAAGAATAAGGTTCATCCTGGTTTCTTCCTTCACTTCTTCTACGACCCTCAAGATGGAGGCGACATGTTCCTCGGAAAGGTCAACTGACTTTCAACGGACTACATGACGTTATATCACAGAAGACAGAAATTTTCTTGATCATTGTAGGTTTCTAATCGTTTGAGTACACGCTAATGAGGGTAGGTACCAATGCAAATAATAAGAGGAACTGTCAACACTCCAGTCTCTCAGTGGCAAGCGAGGCTAACCAGTATTTGTCTGCCGCAGCATTTGATGAGCGGCTGGCTCCAGGAGTACAGCTACAGGTGCCAACCCGTTGACTACTCACACAGCCCAACAGCGCTCAGGGTGAGTATCACTACATTAAGCCATCCACATATTTCGACGAGTGAGGAACGTCTACCCATTCAATTAGCATTAATGTCATTTCTGAGGATTCGTCATCATAACATCTTCCTTCCCGTCATTATGCCCCTCTAAAGCAATGATGTGTACTCCTACTGGTCCCATCAGGACCATGGTTTGGCTTTTCTCTAGGTCTGTGACATTTTTACACGCTCGGCTTGCTCTTCCAAACCAAAGATGGAGGCTGTAGGTTCATCCGAAACATATCCAACGGTCTACTGCACCACAGAGTGTTGTCACATCTCACAAAACAGCAGCGAAGCAGCTCAGCTGTGCCAGAGGCTGTGGGGCGGGGTGCAGCACACCAAGGCGCAGTTCCCACTGTTGCCCTGACACGTCTGTAATAACTGGATCAACTTGAACGATCGAATGCAGAGGTTGAGGTGCACCTCAAGAAACTCCCAGAAGAAGAAACAGGCTACCGCTCGCAACATATCAGTATCGAGAGGATCTGCGGTAATGCTCTAGGCTGGTATCCTGGAGGTCCTCGCTTCGAATCTCGACCGTGACACCGGCTATCATTACTTGAGGTTTTCGTAGCTAAATTAAGTCCCCCCCACGTAAAAGCTAGGAGAGTCCCTTCATGGGCCTTCACTGCCTCCAATTCGTACTTCAGCAGCCATCCAACCGTTCCAGGCTATACCGCCTGGATACTGACAGAGTAGTGAAAACGCATAAAGCTATCCCTGTAACAGGCCGTGGAGGCCCATGGGGTTGTGAGATGTCAGATTCCCACAGTTTTTCTAGACAATCGGTTCAGAAATGGCGGTAAGGTTGTCAGCCTTACGTGCCAAGCTATCCTTTAACAGGCCGTGGAGGCCCATGGGGCTGTGAGATGTCGAGGCTCCCATAGTTTCTAACCAATCCTCTCATAGATGGCGGTGAGGTTGTCACCCTTACGTGCCAAGCTGTCCCTATAAGAGACCGTGGAGCTACATAGGGTTGTGAGACGTCGAGCCTCCCATATCTTCTAGCCAACAACCTCATAGACGGTGGCGAGGTTATCAGTCCTATGCGGCGGCTGACCGGCCGCTCTTTACCCCCAGAAAGATTCCTGGTACTCATCTCTGTTGGAGGCTAAGCCGACCCCAGGACTATAGTACGGCTGGAAGAATTAGGTCAGCTGAAAAATGCAACGACTTAATCGGGAATTGAACACGCGACCTCAGTGCCTCAACCAACTACGCATCTTAAAATAACACACATAAAAATAAAAAGGCAAGAATCCGATAATCATGGATTACTCTTGTTTCTTGCAGATGGCCAACCTGTGCTGGTGGTACTACTTATCGAAGTTCACGGAATTCATGGACACGGTGAGTAACGAACAGCCGCGGTTATGAGAGGGAGGTGACATTTCTGTGAAACTAAATGAGTGAGGTTTCAATCTCTTAATTTGCTAGTTACTGCACCTCCGCAGGTTTCGCTGCTACACATTCCAATACTGGCAAGGAAAGCATTCACACCCCAGGGGAAGAGCGGCTCCTTATGCGCCAGAAGGGAGGGGGCAGGAGCCAGGAATCTCGTCTATCTGAATTTCTGGAAAAAGGCCAAAATTAAAAAGAAATATGGAAATATATCAATATTGTAACGTGTTTTGAGTTCGAATCTCGCTGATCACGCGTGTAAGTCCTAATCCCGTCGGTCACGTGTGTAAGTTCGTATCCCACTTCTGACACCAGTGTAACGTGTTTACGTTACCGAAGACGCCGTAGAGATGTTTAATTGGTTTATTCAACAATCTACAAGAAACGGCTACAATTAATTGTCACACAGTTGCGNAATAATAATAATAATAATAAAATTTTTCGAAAATATTTAACAGTACTCAGACGTTCAAAAATGTCTCGTCTTACAATTTGAAATAATATTAAAAATCGGCTCAATTATATGTGGTTACGGAGGGCGCCAGAAAAATATACCGCGGGCGCCGCGTTGGACAGGGCTGCTGTACACTGTACATGTGTAAAGACCTCCAGATGTTACCAAACAACGCTCTATTGTTACAGTTCTTCTTTGTACTGCGAAAGAAGGACAACCAGGTGACCATTCTACATCTCTATCACCACACGGTGACGCCCCTAGAAACGTGGGTGTGCGTTAAGTTTATTGCAGGTATGTGTAACACATCAAGTCTATGTTTCTATGGGCGGGAGTCATTTGAGGGCAGGTAGGATTACTGATGAATTGTAAAGCATTTGAAGGAGTGGGGCCCGATCGGGGTACTATCCAGCATTTACCTTCAGGAACTGAGAAAAGTCACGAAAAATCAGACAAGAAAGCCAGTGTTCCAGTAGAGACTCGAACCTGGCACCTCTGGAATACGAGTCTAGGGCCCTAACGCTACCTTCACGTGCTGAAGATGGCCGCATCATTTAAAACGAAAGGGAACGTTTTTGTTTTCTCACGGTTCATTTGGCGACGGCGCCCTCAGCAGTTTAGACTATACAGCACCCAATGGTAAGAATTTCGCTGAAAGATAAACTGGAAAGGATATGTAGAGAAGCGGTCGTGGCTCATTTCAAGACACTATGGCAGCATTCTTCTGGAGGGACTCGGTAAAACCACGAAAATCTAAATAAGGCTGAGGAATTCTATCTTCTGGGATTTATCGCTATGTAGCACTACGCTGAAAGTCAATCGATGTTTCGGAGGAACATGTCGCCTCCATCTTCAGGGTCCAACAGTAATCCAAGCAAGAAACCAGCTCTTTCCGCCTGTCACCACCTTTCACGCTGGTGTCTCGCTTATTATTCGACCCTGAAGATGGTAGTGACATTTTCCTTCGAAACGTAACGTTGGCTGAATTTCAAAGAACTGCACGGCGGTATATCCTAGAAGACAGAACACTTCATAACCACCGCTGTGAGAACCTCAAATACTACGTCAATAAGGTGCTACCGTTTGAGTCAACTCGCTCGGACACTGAACGGGCAAATAGTTTTGTACAAAAGAAAAAACGTTTATTTATAACATAATTCGGTTAACCCTATGAAGACGATACGTAGGGAGGGGCATAAGGAAGTGGTGGGGAATATTTTATGGGGGAGGAGGGACAGAAAAGAACTCTAAATAATATTTAAGAATTCAGTCCGCACCTCACAGGAAACGCGCGATTAAAGCTGTTTAGATAATAATCACTGTTTAATCTGATACGTCACGCATAAATACACTGTGTGTGCAGAATTCAGAACTTCAGAATGTTAATGCAGCTGGTACATATAGTTACCTCTGTGATTTGAAGGGTTAATGAGCGAAGCTATTGAACATGTGTGTTTTCTTTGTTTTGTTATGTGAAAGCTAATACATTGCTAAAGTAAGCAAAATGGGACACAGGTTTGAAAGCAATGTGGAAAAAGATTAAGGCCACAAACACAGTTGAGGATTTCTAATCATACAAAAGGAGGTCATGAGGTTAAGAAACTCCGCATAGCGTAAATCATACCTGAACCGAACAAGTTATGACAATTCTGGTTCCTTCTCACACTCTCGTTTAATTATCTTGAAACCCAGGACATATCGGAAATTTAGCCGTATACTGGACATAAGATGATCACAATGGCCGCGCGGACTAAGGCATGAACCGTTTTACCCGCTCGACACTGGTGTTGTGGGTTCGAATCCAACTCAAGGCATGGATGTCTGTATTGTATGCGTTTATTCTGTGTGTAGGCAGAGGCCTTGCGACGGGCTGATCCCCCGTCCAAGGAGTCCTACCGTCTGTGTATAAGATTAAGAAACTTAAAAAGCGGTCATGGCCCAACAAAGCACTGTGGATCCATAATAATAATAATAATAATAATGGAGACAAACCGAAACTGGTACCTGTAGACAGGTTTGAGCAAAACGTTCCAACAGATGCTACAAAAATCAGCTCGGAGGTGCTCGAGCAGTTACAAGGGACAGACAGACAGACAGACGTAGCCATGGCGAAACTAATAGCAGCGTTTTTGCAACTTCCTGCAGAGTACAGGCCAAGCAATAATTTAAATTGACTTCGCCCCCTCCCCACTCAAGTTTCCTTCTTATTCTCACCTTCTTCTCTTCATCTTCCCTTCTTCTATCCTCCTTCTACGTCATTTCCCTTTTAATATAGTATTATTAGTTTAGGGGGCATGCAGAGCTTAGCTGGTTGAGGAACTATGCTACAAATCGGAAGGTCGTGGGTTCCATTCCCGATGAGGTCAGTGGGTTTTTCAATTGACCTAATCCTTCCAGCCGCACTATGGCCCTGGGGTCGACTCAACCTCTAAGAGAAATGAGTACCATGAATCTTCTTGGGGGTAAAGAGCGGCTGGCGCGTAAGGCTGACAACCTTACCGCTATCTGTGAGCCTAATATCTAGAGAAAATGTGGGAGCCTCGACGTCTCACAACCCTGTGGTGCTCCACGACCTGTTACGGGGATAGCTGAGCTTGCTATTATTAGATTTCCACGTCTGATTCTCTTCCTTCGGCCGCACGAGCAGCGCTCCGGGCCTGAAAGCCTTAATCTCAACTATGACTAAATTTGTACGAAACGTCTTTGAGGTTGCCTCATCATCAGACATTAATATATGCTATTACGTCACTAGTAGAAAGTTACTCGCTTCGATTTTCAACATATGACGCTAACCAAAATCGCCATATCCGAGATCTCTAATACACAGGCCTTGACTGCCGCAAGGTATGACGCACCCTGAGATGTAGTGACCACAGAGACGTTTACACAAATCGGCCGGTATTTCAGGTGGGCACGGCACGTTTTCAAACCTCGTGAACAACATAGTCCACGTCATCATGTATTTCTACTACATGCTGTCTGCCATGGGGCCGCACTACCAGAAGTATCTCTGGTGGAAGAAGCACCTCACTCTGCTCCAACTGGTGAGTTAGCCTGGAACACATGCGCTGAAGTTCTGGCAACAGACACCAACCAGCAAGTACTCACGCTTATACAGGGAGGCTAACTCTCTGGAAGCAGAACCCGAAGGTTCAACACAGCTAATAACAAAGCCCGCCACTGGACACGATCCTGAGCCAGTTTTATCCACCTCACAGCCTGTTTCCCTGAGATCCATCTTACTAATTAACTGACTCTCTGGTAGCAGTACCCGAAGGTTCAACACAGATAAAAACAAAGCCCGCCACTGGACACGATCCTGAGCCAGTTTTATCCACCTCACAGCCTGTTTCCCTGAGATCCATCTTACTAATTAACTGACTCTCTGGTAGCAGTACCCGAAGGTTCAACACAGATAAAAACAAAGCCCGCCACTGGACACGATCCTGAGCCAGTTTTATCCACCTCACAGCCTGTTTCCCTGAGATCCATCTTACTAATTAACTGACTCTCTGGTAGCAGTACCCGAAGGTTCAACACAGATAAAAACAAAGCCCGCCACTGGACACGATCCTGAGCCAGTTTTATCCACCTCACAGCCTGTTTCCCTGAGATCCATCTTACTAATTAACTGACTCTCTGGTAGCAGTACCCGAAGGTTCAACACAGATAAAAACAAAGCCCGCCACTGGACACGATCCTGAGCCAGTTTTATCCACCTCACAGCCTGTTTCCTTGAGATCCATCATACTAATTAACTGACTCTGGTAGCAGAAGCCGAAGGTTCAGCATCGCTAATAACAAAGCCCGCCACTGGACACGATCCTGAGCCAGTTTTATCCACCTCACAGCCTGTTTCCTTGAGATCCATCATACTAATTAACTGACTCTGGTAGCAGAAGCCGAAGGTTCAGCATCGCTAATAACAAAGCCCGCCACTGGACACGATCCTGAGCCAGTTCCATTCACCTCCCAGCTTCACATCCTAATTCCCTAATATCCAGTTTATTCCTTCTATATCATTAGCTGTCTTCTAAGAGTCTGTTTTCCGAGATATCTCCCTACTCACACTATATGTTAATTTGCCCCCCCCCCGGCACATCTAACCATGTTGCTATATCTTTATAATATTTCGACCTGCAGAAGCTGTAACTACGTAACGAGTGACAGGCAAAATAGACTCAAAGATGGTTTTGTCAGTTTGAAATGACTGGTTCTGTTTGACAAACATCTAGGTCTGTCTAAATGGTTGTGGTGTATGGGGGCTCTCCCTTCCAGGAAGGGCAAATGTAGACTGTAGGACCACTGCAGATAAAGGGGAGCGAAGGCTAAAAATGGGATTGGTCGGCCCCTTTTAGGCACTCACATCACCACTATTCTAATGCTGCCACCAGACACGTCAGCCTACCCGTACCGACAGCCCACAGACTTCCGAAATACTCCCTCAGTACCTCACCGTTTTTTTTTCTTTCGCTGGAATATCTAAAGCGTGGGAATCCCCTGACCACACAGTCAGACGGGTTTCCGCCTGGCCTGCCGACTGCGCAGGACCATCTCTTTAGTATGTTGCGGCAACATGCTACAAATTCTCTGCCTACCTTGGAATGCAACCTTAACGCTCTGCTGGTCGCCGCTCGATTTCATTTTCGTGAATCGAACCTGGTTCTATCTTCGTTATGGTTACAGGGCATAACGATGGCGAACACAACATATATGATCAGAATCCACATTAACACCAGTATGAGCATAAAACTAATTCCATGGAGCAGGGCTCTTCTTGAGAAGCTAATAGTCGCTCAGTTACTCCAAGAAACTTCCTTCTTTCTGTGGAATCGGAAAGTTCATTACCGTTTACACAACAGCTCGTAATTCCTGCATCAGATATTTCCTGTCCACAGCCACACATCTTATTTCGTTGCGACTCATTTTAATATTATCATCACTTTTGTGTCCGGTCTCTCGCATGGGCTCTTGGCTTCCGTGTGCCTTCCATCTCATCCTTTCTGATTTGATTAGTAATAACAGTGGGTGAAGAGTACAAATTATCAGGCTTCTTATTCTGAATGTGTTCCCAGTTGATTTGTCACGTCTTCCCTCTTCGATGCAAATATTCCTATCACCATCCTTTCCTGTGTTCCTCACTCAACCATTTGTAAAATATTCTCTGATTCCTTATGGGGCCTCAATAATAACAGTCATCATTGTAAATATGATACATAAAAACATTAATAATCACTCTACCTTTACTTAAGTGCACAGCGCGTCAATTAAGTGCGGCCACTTTAACATGAAAACATATAAATACACTTCTCCATGCTTCGTCCAGCATTGGCCACCCTCAGATGTTTCTCCGACACAAAAGAGAAGTACATTTCCTATTATTTTCGTTGTTTGAAGGCTATTTTTATGTTTGCGTGTTTGATCAGTGTTCTAACAGCACAATTGTAATTCCCCAATTATGTGAAAGTTACCCATTTTTTCCTTTCATGTAATTTTGCTTCTTTTATTTGTTTATACAGGTTTGCTATTTGCATTCTGCTGCAGCTGTTGTTACCAGGACTGTTTATAATGGTATTTAATTCCTTACATTTGTGTTATTTAACAGTAATTTATGCTGTGTATCCAGTTTTTGAACGTGGACATTTTATGTTCACTGGGAGGCATGAGGTATTTATTAATTATAATGTCTACTGTCCTTGGTTTCTCTATTTCTATAGTTTCTTCTTTGTTTAAGATGTTGAGGTCGAGGTGTGATGTTTGTTCTATTCATCAATGACTGTAAATTGTAGTGTCTTAGTGTTCTATTATTGATTCTAGTGTAATCTGGATATAAATGACAAATACAGTGTCCATGAATCTGGTTATGTTATAGTTTAACTTTCTAGAATATTTTTCAGTAGATGTTGTTACAAATTAGCATAAGGATTTCTGCTATGATGCCTGATACAGGGGATCCCATGGCAATTACATGTCACTGATTTGTGGGAGTGTTCTTTGTATTGGAAATAGTTTTGGTTTAATATTGTCTGCAAAATGTCTGTCGTTTCCTTAATGGTTAGCATGTCTACATTATTTTCTTTGAGAAGTTTTGTAGTAATGTTTAAATTTTGTTGACAGGAATGTTAGCATATAAATCTTTTATGTCAAGTCTTATGAATTTGGGTTATGTGCAGTTTATAAATTTCTTCTGCAAAACTTTTGGAGTTGGTGACACTGAATTCACATTTTAATGTTAAGAGTTCCTAGATTTTATGGTGTGTGCATTTAGGTAGCCTGTAAGATGGTGCATAAATGTTATTTATTCCTGTAATAGAGGATGAAGGTTTGTGTATGATTTTTGTTTTGGGGGTTGGTGCTGTTATGTTCATTTGTAAGATAATTTCACATACTAGAATAATTACATCCATGCAATCAGAAAACTATTCAAACATGCAACCATAAAAATAGCCTTCTAAAAACCAACACAATAGCAAACATACTTAAAAATACACATAAACAAATAAACACAAACATACCAGTATATACAAAGTGACATGCTTAGACTGCCAAAAATCATATAATGGGCAAATTCTGCTATCACTAAGAGTCAGATTATTTAGCATATAAAGTGCATAAGATACAACAAAGAAGACGCAGGATTTTCCACACACATATTAAGAAATATACATCGTTATGGGAACAAGAAGAGATTATGGAGAAAATCGACCATCATAGAAAGGGCTGAATCATGAATAGAAAGGAGAATTTTTTACATCTACAGTATATAAACAAAATAAAAAGTTACCAGATGAACAAATAAATAAGATATAGTGGAGTGGACTGGATTCATGTGGCTCAAGACACGACCCAATGGCAGGCTCTTCTGAACACAGTAATGAACTTTCAAAGGCAGGAAATTTCTCGACTAACCAAGCAACTGTTACTTGTTCAAAGACCCCTGCTCCATGGAGTAGGTAACTGAACAGACTCTTGTACCATGCCAACTAGTGATATGCTGGAGATTTCATGCGCATTGATGTTCCAACATGTATAAAACAAAACACAATTATATGCACAATACACAAAATAACTGTAATGCAGGGTCACTAAATGCCTGGCCATAATGTAAACAGAATTCTGTACAGTTGCAGTTCACACTTGTGTTCATCCACTCAGCACAAGTCCTCATCTTTGACTGTGGATACCCAAAACTGGTGGCAGGAATGCTAGTCATCCATTCTGTTATTTTCTTCGTGCTCTTCTTTGATTTCTACCAGAGAACCTACTTCAAAAATCGCAAACTGGAGAGAAATTTGCAATAGTTACAAGTAAGTATGAATCAAATTCTGTTTTCAACTTCAAATACTTCAGCCTATGAGTTATTCTTTTTGATCTGTAACCACGATAAGAAATTTGAATACACCATATATTTGTTGTCTCTTACAATATATTTCGGCTCATCAAGCCATCATCAAGTATGAAAGTTTCTAATGATGGTATGTTAATACAATTACTGTTTCTGGATATTATCCATCATGTCCTCTTTTTGTTTAAAATGTATGTTTCAGAAACTAGATTTTGTCTCTGTCTTCAGGTAGAACCTACTCAGTTGGGCCCAATCAATAGAGTTATTCCTTATCTCTGGACAACACCACCAATACAAGATGGGATATATAAATCAAGTGTGAGAGTTAAGACAAACATTATAATCACATATGGCTTATGCCATGCTTTGTTTATACTCATATATCCCACCTTGTCTTGGTGCTGGTGTCTACACAAGGGGACTAGGTCTACTGACTGGGCCCAACTAAGTAGGTTCCACCTGAAGATGAAGACAGAATCTGGTCACCAAAACGTTGTGTTTTAAATAAAAAAAAGGACGACAGAAATGTCTAGAAACACGAAAACTGCATCCTCAGTATTTGACTTCTTTACATATAGCTGTATAAATGTGCTAGTATTCCTACATTGGTCAGCATTTCACAACCACCACATATAAAACACATTTCTCCCAAATACAATAACAGAAACAAAGAGAAAAAACAATCATATGCCCACAAACCAATAAAAACATACTAAATCAATACAAGGCAGGGAAGAACCCCAAAGAAACACATCAGCAGAACAGCTTTCACTAACTCCTAATTTTAATTTTTAATTTTTATTCTTAACGATTTAATATTTTAACTATTAATCTTATAGGTGAATAAACCCTTTTATACAGTATTACCCATTACCAACAAAAAAAAATGTATTCCAATCTGTAAACACTGGCCAATGGAGGAATCCTAGCAACAGGTCAACCACGTGACGATGGCTTGATGAGCCGATTGGCGTAAGAAAAGAAAAATAGATGGTATATCCACATTTCTTATTGTGGCAATGGATCAAAAAATAAATGTTCACATAATTTGATGCTAAAATATTTCTACCTATAAGATGAGGCCGCCAGGAACTGTGATACATTTCTGTGCATGACTTCCACTAGTACGGAGTCAGACTATGTTAAATTTGAAGAGTTTTGTCTTATGGGATATAACGCTGTGTAGTTCACTGAAAGATATCTTTCAACAGACTATACAGCATTATATCTGAAAGACAGAATTCTTCAAAACGCCTGCTCTGGGAACCTCAAATCCCACACGTTACATTTGTCAAAAGCAATCTGAGAGTTTTAAACCATGGCCAAATTTGTAATCACTAGTAAATAAAGTTGTCCCTGTACTTAATCAATTAAGCACTATGCCATGAAGACATTATTGACCTCAGCACTAGATGGAGGTAAATGGTAAGCTTCAGACCTCAACCACTTCACCCTGGGGAAAACTGACCCCAGGTACTAATTGGGTAGGAGGTTCAGTGGGCCACAGAAACAGCAGTGGAGAACAGAGAAATCTTGCTCCTACCAGGGATGAAACCGAACCATCCAGCTTGTAGCCCATTGCTATACCGACTTCTTGTAATGAGTAATATGTAAACAATACTCCATATACAATTTGTAGTAGGTACAAAATTTTACATTCTTACTCATTTTCATTATTTATCACAATCAAACCAAAAAGCACCCAATGCACTTTGGGTGACCATTAAGTTCCTGTTTTACATATGGCAAAGCTATTACCTTTAGAAGCTACATACTTTTATTTTTATATATTTATGGTTTATTTAACACTCTTGTCATTAGGAAACCAGAAAGGATTTGTAAGAGGTGACAGCCTAACAAGGTACTATCCCAACATACGTCTGGAGGGACTAATGAGAACCACAAAAGAAGAATATACTCAGCTACGATAAGCAGAGTTCTGGCTGAGATTCAAATCAAGCATGCCCTGAATACAAATAGAGCATTACCACTACACTAACCTGCTCACTACAGTAACCTCAAGTGGCATGATGATAGTGCTGTTTCATGGAAATTCATGAACTGAGGTGTGAACGACAGCAGAGACCCACAGATAAAGTAATAACATACATTTATATCACCATAGATAACAACAGCACACTACTAGAATATTTCGGTGGAGATTATAAAAATAAACCTTCAAGACTTAAAAAAAGTTTCAGGAAGAACTAATCGTCTACTTCCTTTTCACTACATACTGAGGGTTTGCTGTCACACAGGCAATATAGAAATCAGTGTCCAACAGTTCTCCTATTGTGGGATGACTATTCATTGCTGTGGGAACATGTTTAATGAGTCATTGCCTATCAAAGAACAATGCTACCATTCATTTTCAACACTTTAAGTCGAATTGGCACCACTGGCTTTTGATATATTTAACATATCAAATCTTACAAATTAACTTAAAATAAAACATTTCAATATTAGTGTTTCAATGCCAAGGCTTGGTTTCTCCAAGTCTGGTACTACCAGTGTGTCCTGATTACCAAACATAATGACTGCCTTCTATCAAATTGATGCAACTGCACTGGTTATCCACAATGCTCAACCAAAACTCAACTGAAGGTTTTAAGTTTTCATAGTGGTGAGGATTCATAACGTGGGTTTCTGAGTTATACCACCACACATTCTGGCAGGTGGGTATCATTTCAGAAGACTGTCTCCATCAGAAATGAAGATAGATGTGGTGCTTCTCCAGAGTGTTGCTAGTGCTCAACTACACAGCGTCATCATAAATCACCAAGCTGTGACATGACACCGGAACTTGAATATCTTAACCTAAATCTTGGTAGGTGTCAGTTCCATCCACTGTGATGGTTATACTGCCACCAATGGGTTCTTTTGGAACAGCTGACTCTTACAACACCCACTAAGTGGCTACACACCACAGTAATGTTCCATTAACTGTCAGATGTCACGTTCATATGTTGAACTCTTTGTTTCAGGAGTCTATGGCAATGTGGCAGTGAAGTGTTTGTGTATGTGTGTGTGTAACTGTGAAACTGATAGGACCTTAAAATACATATTTGTAATATTAATTGTATTACTGCGGAATATAAGAATGTATACATATATAAATACTAAATATTATGTAAAGGAAATATGTTTAATTTTCTATGTAAAAAATATCTAAAGAAACAAAAATTTCATGAAAATCAATATAGCAGTTCTGTTATTACAAAGATTATGGATGGACTAACTCCATGGAGCCTAAGTGCTTCTTAAAAAGCCACCAGTCACATAATTTCTCACAAAATTCCCAACATTTTATGGAACTCAAACGTTCATTACTATACTGACAAAATCTCATCACTGGTTCCTATCCTGCACCAGATGAATCCAAACAACACTCCCCCATTCTAGTTCTCTAAGATCCATTTTAATATTATCCTCACATCTATGCATCAGTCTTCCTAGAGATTTATTTCCTTCCAGCTTTACCACCAAACCCCCAAATGCAGTCCTCCTCTTTCCCTTGCATGCCACATATTGTGCCCATCTTATCCTCCTTTACTTGACCATTATATCTGGCAATGAATACAAGTTATGAAGCTCCTCATTATGAAGTTGCCTTCAGCCTCCCATTATGATTCTCCTCCGCACCATTCTCAAACATCCTCAGTCTATGTTCCTCCCTTAATGTCAGAGACCAAGTTACACACATACATATAAAACTAGATGCATGGACATCCAAGGCTAATAGGGCATCTTTGCAGCACTTCACTGCGAATGTAACAAAAACCAGGAAGAAAGGGAATTATGAGAATTCCACCAAGCAAACAAATATGCACTATAAACATGACTCTGAAATTCTACTCTATCTTATGGCCATTCTGTCTTCATTTTGTCTGGTACATTCTGAAGCTTAACAATAACTGGAACAACATTCAAAGTTCCACTTTGAGCACTAGCCTCTTCTTCATATCCACCATTGCTTTCCTGAGACACTCTCAGTTGGGGCAGTGCCTAAACCATGTTCTCGCAATGTTTCATCACCCATGTCAAGCAATCTGTACAAGTGGCAAACTTCACCAGAATGATGATCAGAGATGCCAGAAAAAATGAGTTGTGCCATATCAAATACACTACTTGTCTATTCTGATGTATGGAGGAGGAAATATGGAGACTATGTATGATATACAATGATTTTTTGAAGGATTCACTTCTGCAAAGCAAAACCCTTTTCTTTTTTAATTTGATTAGAGGGGGGTGGAGTCCAACTGGGTCCACTCGGCATGGCGGCCACTGATTGGCCTATTGTACCTGCCTTGGGTGATTATGATGATGGAGAATTTGGTGGAATGAAGATTGGCAGGGGAAACCTAAGTACTTGGAGAAAACCCACCCAGCGCCACTTTGTCTGCCACAAATCGCACTTGACCTGGGATCGAACCTGGGCTGCTGCGGTGGAAAACCAGCGACTAACTGCTTGAGCTATGGTGCGGCCAAAGCAAACCTTAGGTCTTACAGGTTGGTCCAGGTTGATGGGAGAAGCAGCATTCAACTCTTCAGACATGAGTTTCCAACACATATTTCACTGTACAAGCATAGTAAGACTAAAGACAGCAGGCCTGAACTCTCCATCACTCAGGGAGCTGAGCCCTTCTTGAGAAGCCACCAACTGTGCAGCTACTCAAGAACTTCCCAGCATTTTATGGAACCAGAAGGTTCATTACCATTTTCACAAGAGCCCTCCACTGGTCCCCATCCTGAGCCAGATCAATCCAATCCATACCACCCCGAACCTATCTCACTAAGATCCATTTTAATATTGTCCACCAACCTATGTCTTGGTCTTCCTTCTTTTTCTTTCTGGCCTTCCTACCAATATCCTACAAACATCTTTCTTCTCCCCAGTCATGCTTTATGCCCTGCCAATCTCATCCTCCTTCATTTGATCATTCTAATTATACTTTGGAGATGAGTACAAGTTATGAAACTCCTCATTATGCAGTTTTCTCCAACCTCCTGTCACTTCATCTCTCTTCGGTCCAAATACAGGGTGATTCACAAAGTTTTACCCCGGCTTATGGTACATATTCCTGGGGTTATTTCCTGCAAAATTTCCTTATAAACCTGTAGTCGATTTTCAGTAGTTACGGAGTAACAATAGATTTTCGAAACGCATCATTGTGAATGCAGCGCTATGCTTCAGCGTGGGCGACCATATGTTCCAGTCAGCTATGTCAGGAGATAAGGTAGACCGGTTTGAATGTTGCGCGTAGCTAGATAGGTAGAGCCGTTCATACGCGTGTGACACATTGTGTTGATGTGCAGGGAGACATTTTTGAAAATCTTATGTAAATCCAGTTGTCTTCTAAAGCACTATAGTTTAAAGGAAACAGATTGATAGAAGGGTGTGATATGCAACCACTGGTATGTTTACAGAATGGGATGCTGAAAATAATGTAATTTTGTAACATAAAATCAATGAAAAATGTTGCACAATGAAAAATTAAGAAATTGAAAAAAAATGGTTTTAGAATGCTTCTTTCCTAAAACATTAACGATTTAAAAAGTTTTTGTATTGTATTTCTAATTTGTTTTGACTGAAATTCGAAGAAAAAAAGATTTTTCACCAGTTTTCAAATTACTGTATCTCTTTAATTATGAGTTGGATACCATTAGTATTGTAACGTGTTTCATTACTGATCCCACTTCTGACACCAAATTGTCGCATGTTGGGTGTGTAACGCGACAAATAAATTCACGCCATATTTGATGTAGCGAATTTTATTTCACATTCGCACTTACAATCACCCAAATTACAATCTGACAATTACTGCTATCTGCAGTATCACAAATGCTACACTGCAAATGTTGGTAACTCGTAACTCGCGAACTCATTCGGAACTAACTTGGAGGTAGCTCGAGGACTAACTCGTAGGTAGCTGCCTTGAGAACTGAGAACTCTCGTCGGCGGCTGTGTAGCTCCCTTATAAACCCTCAGCAGGGCAACGAGAAAACAACCATGTGGTAGGCATCACTGTTGCTAGGGTCATCTATCGCAACCACTGTTTATCCGCGTTGCATAGCGACCAGTGCGCTGGGATTCGGCTCGCTTCGACTCCGCTCGGCACGTCACCGCCGCCAGGGGGGGGAGTGGTGTCCTGCGTAGCGCGACAAGTAGTAACGAGAACGCTACGTTACCGCCTTGCTCCAAATTACCTCAGAAATGCCCTCCCTAAGTGAGGGTAAAACTTCGTGAATCACCCTGTATTCTCCTCAACACACTGTTCTCAAACACCCTCAGTCTGTGTTTCTCCCTTAGCATCAGAGACCAAGTTTCACACCCATACAGAACCACAGGCAAAATAATAGTTTTGCATATTCTAATTTTTACGTTTTTAGACATCAGATGAGAAGATAGCAGGTTCTGGACTGAATGGTAGCCAGCATTACCTGAATTCAATCTCCTTTTAATTTCCTCCTGAATCAGGTTTTGATTTGTTATAGTCAATCCCAAATATCTGAACTGTGCCACACTTTCAAAATATGTTACTTATCTTGATGTCACGATTTTGCCCTGCATTCCAGTGACGAGACCGCAACTCACTACTTGGTTCTGTTTATTTCTAGACCAACCTCCTTACTAGCGTCAATTACAGTTTCTGTTTTTCTATACTATAACACAGTAGATTCACATTATCGGCACTGGCGAACAGCTGCTGTGTCCCATTTAGTTTCAGTCCCACATGGTTTTCCTGGACCTTTCTAATGGCATATTCTAAAGGAAAATTGAAGAGCAATGGCAATAAAGCATCTCCTTGTTGTAGACAATTCTCGATAGGTAAATTACCAGAGAAATGTTTATCTATACAGACTTTACTATATGTTTTGTTTAAACACATTTTAATCAGTCTAACTAGTTTCATGGCTACCCCAAACTATATGAGAATAATTTACAATACTTCGTTCCTAACGGAATCATAGGCTTTTTTGAAGTCTATGAATAGCTGATGTACTGTCTCACTGTACTCCCATTTTTCTCCAATATCTGACTAAGGCATTGAACCCCACACTGATGATCCCCAATAATTTCATCTATATACATACATACATATATATATATGTGTGTGTGTGTGGTCTTAACCTTGAGAGAATATCGGATAAAATTTTCTATGAAGTTGATAGCAGTGATATCCCACAGTAATTACTAAAGTCAGTTTTATCACCCTTCTTGTGAACTGGTATATAATGGACTCCATCCACTGAACAGGCAATTGCTCCTTATCCCAAAGAGAATTAATTCGTTTATGGACCTTAGAACACACTATTTCACCTCCTGCCTGAATCAGTTCTGCTGGAATTTGATCACTACCTGTCGATTTACACCTTTTAAACTTAGCAATAGCAATTTCAATATCAAAAGGACCAGGATCAGGTACTAATGGCTCAGCTGTATGTATTTCTACCAGCCTAACATCACTGACCCTATATACATTCAATAACTGAGAGAAGTAGTTCCTCCACCTATTCAAAATGTTGTGGGAATCTGTAACAAGATCACCGTTCTCATCCTTCACTAAGTTTCTCATAGGTTGCTAACCCCTCTTAAAGTCATTTACTCCTCTATACATGTCTCTAATGTTCTTGTTCTTAATGTTCATTGCAAGCTCTTTAATTTTCTTTCAGATACTCCCTCGTTTTATTCCTGAAATGCCTGCTGGTTTCACATCTTATATTGTTCAGATTATCCCCATTTAAATTGCCTGGATCATGCAACCACTGCAATTTTGCTTGTTTCCTTTGATCTAATAATTCTGAGCATCCTTCATTGAACCATGACTTATGCTTCAATTCATAAGAACCTAGACTTTCTTTGGCAGAAATTTTGATACTCTAATAGTTTCCCAAGCTCTATTAGTATCCACCTCAGTGTCTTAGTTTTACAAAGCTCCAAACCTATTTCAGATTTCAACATGATACTACTCTACTACTACTGCTACAATGTACTAAACATGATGACAAGGAACCCACCTAACATGGCCTGAACTCTTCATAGAGTATTAAAAAATAAACAAGGATAAATAAAATCTGAAAAATGTACATCAGGAAAGACGAAAAAGTAAAAACCTTACAAGCTGCCAGAATCAGACATACAGTGGTTCAGACATCTGTTAGTCACGGAGAAAAAGAACAGGGCTACTTTGACTGCTAAGTATGTGAAGCTGGGGAATAAATTATCATTGGGAAGCTAAGGTACCCATGGAAGAATATAGTAATGGAAGACGTACAAAACAGAGCACGGTATGGGTGGACAGATATGCAAACGGATGAGGAATAATGAATGGGGGCTTTTGTCATGAGATGGCCCACATCAATGTCCACAGTTTATTTCAAAACAATTACAGACCTTTACTGGTTCTGTACAATTAACAAACATCATAAATAAAGTAAAACCATTCAATATCTACTCCTATGTACAAGATCCAATTTCAGCATAGCATACTTCGGCAGAAGTGACGTTACATACCATTCAACCAGGACAAGTTCAGATTCACTGTTATGAATTTTCAGTTTCTCAGAATCAAAGTTCCCAAGAAATACACTTTAAACAAGGCAAGTCCTTCACACCAAAATGTGGCATTATTACACTACGGAACATCACTGCCTGCCTCAGTCAGCCAGAGCTTCTTCCTGCTGCCTTCTTGCATCAATGCGTCTCTTTCGTTGGCGCAATCGACGTTCACGTTCATACTCCTTCATTCTTAAAATGTAGCTGCAAATAGGGCAAAAGAACAGAGACAGTAAACTCAGTGCAGCCAAAAAAGTAAGGAAGTGAGCACAGACAGTTCCAATGTTCCACATACCTGAAAACCCAGCACTGTGTGGAGACTGCAAGGGGGAAAAATAATAAGTTACAGAGGCACTGTAACTGCAGCTGAACAATTGGCAGCTTTGTGGAAGTCATAATGGCTGGGATATGTACCATGCATGGGAAAGAAGAGAACTGCATACAAAGTTTTCGTGAGAAAAATGAAGGAAAAAGACCACAAGGTTGAACTTGTTGTTGATGGGAAGATAACATTAAAGTGCAACTTAAGAAATAGAATGGGAGAATGTTGCTTGGATTCGTCTGGATTATGACAGGAACCACAGCTATTAGCTCCTCAAAAAGGACTCAGCTTCGTGGAGTCGGTTAATGGAAGACATAAAAACAAAAAAGTACAGTAGATATTGACTGGGATGACACTCCATGCAATCTGGTAGAAGTTTACTGACATTTCAGAAGAACATACTGACTCCATGTTCTACCACACTATGTTATGTCATATCCCACACAACAGCAGTCTTCGGTCACTACTGCAAGAACCTCAAATCCAACCTTTAGTGGCCTATGTTGTACTGCTATACAAGCTATGGCTGACCACATGCTTATTTTTCAATTCTAATATGACAGAAACAGGGTAATAAAAATTCCCGATTCCCAAGCAATAAGGACCAGAAAACTTCAAAATAGTTGAAGAGTTCAATGTTATTGCCAAAGTAACTATGCCACTGCAACTCCTGCTTTGACAGTAGCATATATAAGTTATGCAACATAAAATGTGTAAATTATTACAAATGATATGTATGGAAAGTCACAGACTGTTTCTCATTTCCTCCAGGCAAATTTCAGGAGAGCACCAGCCAGACCACACCAACTTCCTTCTAAATCTTTTCAAATTCATCACTTATCAGTCATCTTACCATCAGGTGATACATAGCAGATATTGACAGCACTACTGAATAACCCACAACCCATATATGGAAGAAAGGAAGCAGCATCTGACTATGGAAAGCGACAGAGAATCACAGCCAGAACAGTCTCTGAGTCAAGATTCAAACCCAAGAACTCCTGAATATGAAACAGGGATGCTGTTCAGTACACATTCTTCCTACTAAGCCAAGACCTCAAAATGTCAATATCAAGAAATGGACATATACCTCCATAAGGGCAGATATGCAACTGAAACAGCGTCAGATAAGGGAGACAGGTGTAACTGTACATACGTTCAGCACATTTCAAACAGAATAAGGTTCTGCCCAGTTCCACAGGCAAATGGTGTGAGGAGATATAGAACTGAAATATAACGGTGAGATGACAATGGAAGGATGTGATGATACTGGGAATTCGTTGTATATCCAGGGAGTGCGCCACTGGCTGGGCTTGCACATGACTGCTAAGCAGAGTGTGACGGCTATGTTATGTGTAATGCGTTTGTATATTACTTGCTACAAGCCAGAGCGGCCTCCGTAGTCTAGGGGTAACATTCCCACCTCGTGACACAAGGTACACGGGTTCAAACCCGGCGGAGGTCGTGGAATTTTTAAGGGAGGAAAAATTCAGGGAACAAGTCCTCCAGGAGGGACTTTAAGCCGTGGGTCCCGTGTCGTAGCTTTACGGCACGTAAAAGAACCTCATGTCCCAAGGGGACCACTGAGCCAAATTCAGGACATTTCCCGCCCAACAGTAGTCTCTAAAGCCTCTGGTAGATGGGGGAAGCATTGAGAGATACCGCAGAGCCAGTAGAGGCCGACCTCGCTGGCTGAGTCGGGACTGATGGCACGCATCTGTACCGGTAGGGAATAGAGACTGGTAGAATATCATAGGGGGATGCACAATGGACCAACAGTTGGTCTAAGTGCATGGGGAAACCCACCCTCTCCAATACAGTACAATACAATACAATACTACAAGCCAGTGAGTACAATACGTTTTGTGTGGTGGTGACAGGCATGTCAATTTGCACGTGAGCAATGTCAGTAGGGCAGTAATTTAAAACAAACATTTCATTACTATGTGACGCACATCAAGCAAATTTTTGAGTGTTTCAAAATTCTTCCCTGTAATTCTCTGGTTTGAAGCCCATATTAATTACATCACCACCCTCTACTGACCTCTTCCACTCTCTTAAATCTAAATCTTACTCATACAATTAGTAAGCATAATACAGATAAACATTACGTGCAAAGCTGACATAAAAGTGTACTTTCACGTTACAAGTCAACAAAAAATATGACAACTAGTAGCACCATTAGCCATGTTATGTTATACCACAAGTATAGTTAGTGCCATGTAACTTTAGCCACGTGGAAAGGTAGATGCTGTTGTGGAGCACGTGAAGCTGTATGCTTGCTGTGGTGATGTTCAGAGCTACTCCCTGAGCGGAAAACATTGCCTACAGAGACCAAATAACAAGCAACACAACGTACTATACACCTAACCACACTCAAAGACGCTACATTCCAAACTGGTAGTACCCATGCTGATGTAAGCTGATAAGACTACCCCCCCCCCCCAGCTCTGCGAGAGATGGTATGAGCCCTCTACCACGGCTACAGTTCCGAGGAACTAACAGTACAACAACCACAGAGAACCACAATATTCCCAAATGTTATCTTCATGTTATTATAATACTTTAATAAGTTTTAATAACAATTTCACCAAAACTAAACAGGAAATCAAACAACAGTACAGACACACAAAATACACACGTCCATCTTACTCTCATTCGCACAAAGTGTATTTCACTTAAATTCATTTTGTCTGCATATTCTCACACTGATCAAGTATTGTTACAATTTAAACTGTGTATCGTTTACATACATGTAGATTAGGGGAAGTTCCACGCCTCATTTATTAATGATCTGCAAGAGCAAACTGTTGGGCTCACGTGCAATACTAACCACATAACTTTACCCCATTCCTATCTTTGTAACCCATAATCTCAGTCAATGATATTTATGCTACTGTGCAGGAGAAATTGTAGATTACCCATGCCAGTTGCTCACCCAACTACCAATGGTGGTAACAGGTCATTATATGCTCTTTATTATTAAATTAGTAGGGGTCATCAAATAGAGACAGATGAGAAGGGTGGAACAAGTAAACAGTGAATGAGACACATGCATACAACACTTCAGTCACAAAACCCAAAGATCAGTTTGGATGGGAAACCTTGGTGTACGTGTGAGAATTATAATAAAGTTAGATGGTAAAGAAGTATGCTCATGGTGTAGATTGAGTTCTACAAGACAGGAAATTCTTCCAAGCAACTCTTTAGTTTCTCAAGACTCTGGTCCATGTAGCTGGTCAAGCTGCTACATTAAATCTATACTCACTCTTCATATTCGCACTGCAGGAACTCGTGTTTCTCATGAGCGCACCGATAATACCAGGGGGCCTTGTCTGCTCTGCAGGCCCGATACTTTAACAACATATGTGCACAGTAGTCCCGGTCCACAAGGGCCAGCTTGGCTGACTGCATCTCTTCCTCTGTAGCTATCATCACTATAAACCAACAACATATACAGCGCCCAACATCTAGCCCATGCACCTTACATGTAACAACTTGATTTACTCCTATAATGCCTCACTGTGCTCAATTTCCTTGTGGTTCACAGCTTAAATGCAACCAGATTTCCCTCATTAACCTCACACACACACACTCACTCACTGAGCCCAGCCATTCTCGAGAAGCCGCCAATTGTGCAGCTCCTCGAACTTCCAAGCAATTTATGGAACCTAAAGGTTCATTACCGTATTCAAAACAGCCCTCCACTGGTCCCTGTCCTGGGCCAGATCGAGCTAGTCCATACCATCCAACCCCATCGCTCTAAGATTCATTTTAATATTGTCGACCCACCTATGTCTCGGTCTTTCTAGTGGTCTCTTTCCTTCTGGCTTTCCCACCCAATATCCTATAAGCATACCTCTTCTTCCCAGTCATGCTACATGCCCTGCCAATCTCATCCTTCATTTGATCATTCTGATTCTACTTTGGGGAGGAGTACAAGTTATAAAGTTCCTCATTGTGCAGTTTCCTCCAACCTTCTGTCCCTTCATCTCTCTTTGATCTAAACATTCTCCTCAACACGCTGTTCTCAAACACCCTCACTCTGTGTTTCTCCCTTAATGTCAGAGACCAAGTTTCACACCCATACAGAACCACAGGCAAAATTATAGTAAATGAAAAGACAAAAGGTTCTGTACTGAATGGTAGCCAGCATTACCTGAATTCAATCTCCTCTTAATTTCCTCCTGAATCAGGTTTTGATTTGTTACAGTCAATCCCAAATATCTGAACTGTGCTACACTTTCAAAACATGTTACTTATCTTTATGTCACGATTTTGCCCTGCATTTTGGTCACGAGACAGCAACATATACTTAGTTCTCTCTGTGTTTACTTCTAGACAAACCTCCTTAATAGCTTCAATTAAAGTCTGCGTTTTTCTCTTTATGGTATCTAATCACCCATTAAATTCACATCATCAGCACACAGCAACAGCTAATGTGTCCCATTTAATTACAAGTCCTACCTGGTTTTCTTGCACCCTTCTAATGGCATATTCTAAAGCAAAGTTAAAAAGCAATAGCGATAACCATCCGACACGAAAATACGAATATATATATATATATACATGACGTTATAATACACATTAATTATATAAAAGCATCGACATTATAATACACATGAATTATATAAAAGCATTGACATTATTATCTGCATGTATTTATAATTGTGAAATCATACTGCCATTGCGGAAAACCTTGAAGAAAACTTATAACTGTTATAACTAAGACTGCATGAGCACAAATGGGCACGAAACAGAATCAATTTACCTCTCTCCTTTCTGCCATTAGGGAAGCCATACAGAGGATCAAACGAAGGTCCCTGCAAAGGATGTGGAGTTCCGACAGGATCAGAGTACAATGCCCAAGCATTCCCCATTATTTAATAAACTAATGGCAGTCTTCTTTTAAATAAAGGAAGGCATCTACGGTGATAAGAAAAATAAAAACCTTCCGCTTCTTTCGGCCACACCAGAAATTCCCTAATTTCCACGACCCTTCTCAGCGAATCATGACTACCAACACAACACACATAACATTACCACCATCTTTTTACACAGAAACTTATAATTGCGGTTCCAAAATTATCCACTTGACTCATCATACCGAGCGCTGAAGTAACTGTACTCATGAATCATTATTCACTATCAGTCATATTCAAAACATATTCGGTGTAGCAGGTTGTCTTCCTACATCCTCGCTGAATAAATTATCAGAACAGTTTTTCGATATATATTACTGCAGTATCACTTTAAATACTCTATGTAACGATCTTATATGAGCACATACTATGGACTCATATGAACATTACAGCATAATTGCCAGAGGAAATTTCGGGTGAGTTGTTCATATCAGCGAATTGTCTACTGAAATTACTATCAACTTTTACACTACAAGTACTCTAGAATCTCTATCTGACTCTCAATATTACAGCGTGTCCTTGATCAGTTTGTTATTGATATTCGTAATTCAACATCAATTTTAAACTGGGAGAGTGTCTTTGAACCGGTTGTTGAACTATAATAATTCCTTTCTGCAGTTTATTGATTTCTGCGACCAGATTAAATGCATTAGCACAGACAATATAAGTCTGGACCTCCCATTGAGGATATCTACAGAATTCATTTACATGTAACGACATGAGAACTAAGGCTGGTGCCACACGAATGCACAAAATGCGTCCGTTGCAGAAATAAACAAGAGTGGCGAATGCTACGCTTTCTTCTGATTCAATTGCAAACAAAAAACTAGACACCGCATTCTGCAAGTGTGTGGCGTCCTAAGCAACGGACGTACTTCGTGCGTCCGTGTGGTCCCAGCCTAAATGTACTTCGGAAAGTTGTATTTTTTATTCATTTAGGTACTTCAAAATATGTGAAACCAATATAATGCCAATCCCATTTTCGCGCAATTATCACATAAGTAGAAGAAAAATTATATTCAGATCCCCGAAGTTTCCGCATTGTTTTAGCGATCCGTTCGTCAGCTTCAAACATGCGCGCGCACCCACGCGCACACAGTGAGCTTCAAACATGCGCGCGCACCCACACAAAAAGAACACCCATACCTTACAGCAGTTTGTATGCTAGACTGCGAGATTGCCTCAAAGCAACCAACCCCTTCGCATTAAATTCATGTACGCAACAAAGAATATTATGACTGGCATACCAGTATACAAATCTCATTCGGCATTACCTAGTTCAACTCTCCACCAGGAATCTATGGATGTTCTGTAGTTCCCTTCAGTCCCTCCATGGATTTCATTGTCTGTCATGTCACATTAATCAGTCGATGCTGCACCGAAAAACAACAGAGAATTGAAACTTTTCTTTGTCGATTTATCACATGTTCTGTCGACATAATTCCCGCATAAATCGAATAAATTTCTACTGTTATCGCTTTACATGTTTCGGCCATTTAGGCCATCATATAATAAATAGTTCACACACAATATATTAAAATACACTATTACTTTCAATATTCAGTTTTATACTATTTATACATCCATATTATAAGTTGGTGAAGGAATTTTATTACACGTACTTTACACATAGCTCAACTGAAACTTTAACTGGTTTTATGAAACATGGTTCACTGCTAAAAGAAAGTTAAATAACATTAAGAAAATTGATTTCTGTGTAGGATTTTAGGTTCCCACATTAGCAGTTATGGAGAGTTCTAATTTCTGGGATACATCACTGTGTGGTCCAACAAAAGTTGAGCATTATTTTACAGGAACATGTTACTTCCACCTTCAGTGTTGAAGAGCAAGCCAAGCAAAAGACTGGCATGAAGACAGGAAGTAGAGCTTTGCTTGCTCCCAGCTTCATTCTGAAGATGGAAGCATGTTCCTTCATGTCAGATAATTTCACTGGACCACATGGCATTATATCTTGAAAAACAGAACATTTCATAAATTAATTTCTGACTGTATAGTGCAATATCTTCAATACAGCAGGCTTGAAAGCAGTGAACTTCCAAAGTAAACATTCAGACCAATGAGGTATGGATAATAGCAACATCTGGAAAACTACTACACTGCCAATAGTACAAACATCAGTGTCATGCATAACAAGGAAATCCATCTGAAACATCTTTGAGGGTTTATAATCATAGACAGTGGCACAGACCATTCCTAGACAGTTACTGAATTCTTATTATCAACATACAACACAAACCACAGTTGCCATATGGGATAGCTTTTTGAACAGACTTCCATAAGGTTGCCTCCCGTATGGAATACTTTTACAGACGTTTCATACAGAGTTAATAAAAATTCCTAATACATATTCTGATGATGGACGATACTCAATATCAAATCTTAGGTAAACAGTGGCAATAAACACTTCCTCTTCTCGCACAAAAGTCTGCATTAAAATAATGTAATTCTCTTTCCTTAGAACTGTTGAGTTATACAAACAAAAAGATGGAAGGTTTGTGGTTTTCAAGAAAATTCCCCTGGACAACATGACAGATCAAGAAGAAAAGGTATGATTATTTGCATGTAACTGATAAAACTGAGAGGCTACTAATGGAGTAGAGTACATCCAATTTGGAATATCTGCACAGTTTAGAGCATCTAAAGCCATATGGCCCATTAACTGAGATATATGTCTGTTAGTTGTGTTGCAAAACATACAATCACAGTTCGACTCTAAAGGGTTCTGATGATGTTATTTTACACTTACTATTACTGCATTTCTGGACTCTGTCCATTGTGATGGCGCAGTCGGTATAGAGATGGCTGCAGGATGGATGACCGGGTGGGCAGAGTTTGAGTCCTGCTAGGGAAAAGAATTTTCCCTTCTCCATGTCATCCAGACTGGGGTCCACCCAACTTCCTATCCAATCGGTACCAGGGCTCTTTCTCACGGGGTAGAGCGGCCAGCATGTGAAGCTGACCACTCACCTCTAGCCAATAGGCCAAGGTCAAGAAAATGTTCATCTATATGTCCACTCTCACATACACCTTCATGGTGTAGTGCTTAATTAGTTAAGCACAGGGACAACTTTACCTTTTACAGATTTCCACAGAGAAAACAATGCTTTCAGAAACTACATATGCGTCTGTCATCATGTGCAAAGGTGGAAAGACACCTACTCAGATGGATCTGTTAGGCACAGCTGATCTCAATCAGTGGAAAACCTAAGTGTCTTTGGACTACCAGATGACAGAAAGTGTCCAGACACCCTGTACTTCTAACTACAGTATCTACGAAAAGCACTACATTCTGGTGCATGATATCACATGGGTCAGTAGAAGTTTCATAATGTTTTGGAGAAAATTACTGCCTCCGTCTTAGACCCTGAAGATGGATGTAGCACATTCCGCAGAAATGTTGAACTTCTGACAGACTACACGCTGTCACATCCCATAACTTAGTTATCTTCAAAGCTATAGCTGTAAGAATCTAAAAACATAACCTTACCATATCACTCAACAAAACATGATGAGGTATTGTCACAATGAACAGTGTCACATTTCAGAATATAATCACTCTGTTATTGGAAGAATGTCATAAGAATGAAGAGTCAATAAGTGTGCAGAGCAATGAAGCACAAATGAACCTCTCATTTAAAATATTTATGATCTACCGCCCTTTCTCTGCTCTACAAAGTCCTATTCAACGGGTACCAAGAGCAATTTTCCTAGGGGTAAAATGGTTCTCTTCAGTCCCTCCAGGCAAATGCTAGGGTTATTTGGTTATGACCTCTTCCTTCCAAATTCTATCCAATTCATAACTCGTCTGTCATCCTATCATTCAATGCTATGCAGGCTACCTACTGAAAGTACAAATTACATTTTCTTATGGATACTATATATAATTTTACACTGTCACTTTTCTACCTTTTCTTACCAGATGGCTTATGAAGAAGCTGTACTGATGTCGCGATTCAACCACCCAAATGTAATTTACCTGCACGAATGCTTCATAACTGATAGAATTCTGTGCATTGTAATGGAGTATGCAATGGGAGGCACACTAGAAGAGTTCCTGCGGAAGAAAGGTGGCAAACTATTGTCACAAACTGTGAGTACTCACAGCTATGCAATACACTTACTGGTTATAATATTTGGTGCTTTCTGACAGTATGAAACACACACCAGTATATGCCGGTTTATGTCATAGTTGTTTCCTAAAATAGTCATATAACTCAGCATTTTTGTTTCATAGCTTGAATTTTCATTCAAGATTTGTTATTAACTTTAATATTTAACAACTGACTTACAATACCATTCATTTTAGCCATTAAGATATCCCTGTCTTCTTGCTTTAGGCAAATAATTTCATTGATTCCTATTCCTTGCTAAAATAAATTAAATTAAAAAAATCACATAACATTTTCTTAACACAAAAAATTCTAATAAGCCAAAAAAATCATGTAAGCTGAGGGATATGTGTACCTCTAAACACAGATGAGTCATTTTTGTGCTAAATTGTGAGGAATTTCATTTGCCTAGCAAGATCCTCCGTCATCGTTTTGAGAAATTAGCTCTGACAACAATTTCTTTCAGATGCTGAGGTACAGTCATGGAGATTTCAGTTCACAGAATTTGCAATACTGTATAAAACATAACCATGTAACGTGTCTTTGAACTTGAACAGGGATCTTCCTGCACAAAATGTATTGTGATTATGTGTGCATATATAAAATATAAAGAAATTAATCAATACAGCAATCCCTCATCAACCACAGGTTTACATTCCACAGAAACACTGAGGTTGGCAATCCCACACATATATTTAAAATCCAAAACAGTAAGCTTTTCCTGCATGACAGCTACTTTACAAGCAGAATTCAGAATTAAAGGCATTCACTCTCAGTTTCTGTTGGAGGAAAAAGGTTTCATGAAGCATGATGTTTCCCAATTACCAGTTCTCAGCGCTTGGAAGATTATTTACTACCTTCTACAATATGACATCACATAGTCTGGTAGGAGTTCGCTGATATTTTCAAGGAATGTACTGCCTCCATCTTCACGGTTGAAGAGTAAACAAAGTGAGTAACCAGTAAGAGGCAAGCAGCAAGCAGAGTGACCCTGAAGAATGAGGCAGTACATTCCTCCATTCTACCAGACCACACAATGTCACATTCCAGAAGACAATACTCTTCAGTCACTGCCTTGAGTACAAGTCAGCAACAGTCACAAATGAACTTCATCCCTGCAAGAGGCAGTACAGTTTTATTCCAAAACTTTTCAAATGTGCTGATTGTTTCCATAATTTTCAGGAAGTTGTTTACATGTTCAGCCAGATGGTGCACGGGTTACATTATATTCATCAGCGAGGAGTCGTGCACAGAGACATTAAGCCATCAAACATTCTCCTCACCCCAGTAGGAGTAGAAATTGTGGTTAAGATCGCTGACTTTGGGCTCTCAAAAATATTCAAAAGGTAAATGACAGAAACAAAGGAAGCATCCACTAGTGTTTAGAGTAACATCCAACTTTAGTCCATATCTAGAAATAACCTTCACCTTTCACTGCATCATTTGACTTCATTCACTGGAATACAGAAATGTATTTTTCATACTTTTACCCCAAATTTGCATTATTTTAGTAAATGGTGAGAAAATAATACACAGTGAAAGCATCAAAGCATTCACTATATGTTATACCTGCACAATGTCACTTACTTCCCAGTAAATGTCTCTTTACATGCAGATAGAAACAGAAATTATACCCCTTAACATTTTGTGCACTGACTGCCTCTGTGGTCTAGGCTAGTTCCTGGCTACAGATCCAGAGGTCCTGGGTTCGACTGCCGGCGCTACCAGACTTTCTGAGTAGTAGTGGGTCTGGAACAGGGTCTACTCAGCCTCATGAGGATAATTGAGGACCTATTTCAAAGAAATAATGGCTCCAGTCTAGAAAACCGAGATTAATGGCCGTGGGGATCCATTGCGTTGACCACATGACACCCTCTATCAGCAAAAAGTTGGCATTAACTTCTCCAACAAGTGGCAGTTGCTATAGTTCGCTTGCAGACTGCAGGCCACAGAGTTTAAAACTTTATGTGTACATAATATAAATGCATACTGTAGAGATTCTGTCATCAGCTTGTTTTATTTAAAAATATACTTAATTAAATTTTTATTCAATTTTGTGTCAGGGGCTAAAAGAGTCAGCCCAAAATTTTTTTGTTTTTTGTTCATATCAGACTAAAGCATCACATATTTGAAATACAGAACGCATACCTTAAGAAATTCTAAAAAAATCACATAACAGAATAACATCCGAGATTCACAATTAATTATATACAATACTTATGCCCGTGTACAAAGTGGTATATGTATTGTCATTTAGTTGTGTTAGAACTTATCAGTTTTTTCTTCTTATTATTCCACCTCCCTCTTGCAGTGGCCAGTGAAACTACACATTTCAGTAACTCTTGCTCTACCATTCATATTTTATGTCCATATCATCTGAGCTGACGATGAAGCATCCATTTCATTCCATGTTTCATTTCTCACTATTTCCTCTTGTTACCTGAAGACAGCTTTTTCAGCAGCTTAAGTCAACCATTCCTGTACTACTCCTTAGTTTTCCAACCCCATAACATTAGATGTACATCTGTTATATAAATGATCATAAATACAGGATGAAAATAAAGTCATTCTAATGACAAGCAGCTGTGTTCCTTTAAGCTTCTGCATACACATAAAAGCAACAAAATCCTTGTATATTAGTTTAGTTATAATATGTCTTAGAACTGTCCTCCATTGACACTGAAGCAGTAGTGTGAACAAAGCAAAACAAAACAGTGACTTGCTATGATAATACACAACTTACCTCACTTGCATGAACTTAATGATTGCACTGCATGATGTACAATCAGAAAAGTGTAACATAAACTGATGTCACATGCAGCAGGAAAACAGAATTCACCTCTGTGCTGGGAACTCCAAGCTACCTGGCACCAGAACTCTGTGAGGGCCAGTCCTACAACAAGGAGACTGACATTTGGGCACTGGGCTGCGTTCTGTATGAAATGATGACTTTGAAGAAAGCATTTGGGGCTGAAGTAAGTATCAACATATCTTCACATAACAGAAAAAAACAGGCTCAGAATGAAGAACTCATCTCACAGTATATTAATCAAGGCTGGATACAGCCAGTTTAATATGCAGCTGCAGTGGGTATATGCAGTTTTGGTAGGGAACCCCTTTACAGTATGACTCATAAGTTGAAAGCCACAGACAGGGAAATGAAGAAAATAATAAAATAAATGATTGACTCCGTGGAGCCGAGCCCTTCTTGAGAAGCTGCCAGTTGTGCAGGTATTCAAGAACTTCCCCAACATTTTATGGAACCTGAAGGTTCATTACTGTGTTCACATGAGCCCTCCACTAGTCTCTTCCCTCTGCCAGATCAATCCAGCCCATACCACCCTATCTTACCTCTCTAAGATCTAGTTTAATATTATCCACCCACCTATATCTTGGTCTTCCTAGTTGTCTCTTTCCTTCTGACTTTTCCACTAATATCCTATATTCAGTCCTCTTTTCCCCTATTAGGGCTACATGCTCTGCCCATCACAAACTGATTGACTTGATCATTCTAATTATACTTTGCAAATACATGGGAAAATGAACAAATGAGCAGACAATATTATTTATTTTGTGGGTTTTTTACAATACTCCTGTATAGCTGGGGCAGCCAAACTTGCAAAATTGGAATCATATATAATTTTCAGAAGTGCGGGAGGCATTACTGTTTAGGTACACGCTTTCCATACAGCAAATTTTTATATCTAGTTCATAAGCAGAGAATGGATTGACTATATTTTTTTTCTGTGAGCCACAGTAAGAGATGAAAAGAGCTGCATGCAGCTCACAAGCCACAGTTTGGCCACATCTGCTATACAGTGTGAGTTGTAAAATGATTGCTGTGCTGGAACAGATCTGGAAGGAAGAGGCCGTGTGCCAAATTGGGGTAGTAACCTGGAATTTAATTAGACTGAGGAAAACCATGGAAAAAAACCTGTCAGGACAGTCAGATCTTGGTAAAGATTCCAACTAAACATTTCCCAAAAACAAATCTAAAAGATGACCACTCAATGCAACATTGTCACTGAAATCTGTTCAAAGATCTGTCTGTACATGTCAGAACATAAACAAAGGGATGAATTCAGAAGCTTATACTTAACTGCATTGAGGGCAACACCATAATTCCTGTCACCAGGACAGATGTATCTCAGGCTCTGGAAATCCAAAAGTGGCTGCATAATGACAAATGTCTGGCTAAGTTACTTTAGGAGTACATCTCATTTGTGTGCTGTGTTGGCTCCACTGCAGTTACTTTCTGTCTGAGGGTACATTACCCCTCCAGTAAGCCACCTTATGAAAGAAAAATCCTGTGTCTTCAAAAACATCTGCAGATCAGCAATTTCTGTTACTATCATAAGGTGAAAACAGACTTTCTAATAATGAAGTAACAATGTCAACTTTAAATCTATAATTTTATGTTTTCATTGAAGGAAACATTCATGTTGTGGTCTTCTGCATTATGACACCATGTAGTCTAGCAGATGGGTGCGAATGCTCTGAAGAAAGATACTGCACCTATCTTCATATATGCAGTAAGTTCACTGGAAATGCTGGTACCAGTCTCATAATCCAGAGGACCACAATACAAACTTCAAATCTGTTAATGAGATAACAGAATACTGACAATATTTAATCATTTTGGCAGACACTGGGGTCAATTGTAAGGAAAATTCTTCAGTGCCAGTTTGTGCCGCCTAATCCACAGAAATATGGGGAGCACCTGAGGCAACTCCTGTACTGCTTACTACGGATCGATCCCACATGCCGGCCCTCAACACAGATGATCATGGCTGATGTAGCAATCACCGAGATGTGTCACAAACTGACAGTAAACCTGGGACTGGTTCCTTCTTCTCATAAAACATGATCACAATTACCAACTACAAAACCTTAGCAGCAGGGAAATGGAAGCAGAAAGTGTAAATTTGGTATTAGGGATACTACAAACATTGTTCACTCTAATGAAATACCTGATATGCTTTGACAAATTAAACGGTAACAAAAGAACGTCTAATTTTGTGGAGCTACACCATTTCTTTTAGCAGACAGTGTAACTGCATGTGAAGTGAGAGTTGTTCTGAATATAAAAACAATGAATGTGACACTGTGTGGGAAATAGTGCCTTATATGCATGTGTGTTTTGTGTTGGTTTCAGATGCAATGTACATAATGTAATAAGAGTGTTATTTATATACTTCACTTTCAAACATCAACAAATGAAAATTCACATACAAGGATATAAAAAATATGGAGTGTCAGATTTTATTAAAATATACAAAAATAAAACTATAATTTTAATTTTCGTAGTGTGTGGTGTGAATGTCAGTTTGCCATGTTAAGGAAAGAACACATACTGAGGGTGCTGAGAAGAATATTTAAACCTAAGAGGGATGAAGTGACAGTAGAATGGAGGAAACCATAATAGTGACATGCTTCATAATTTGTACTTCTCATCAAGTTATGATAACGAAATGAAGGGCATGTATGCTAACTTCTTGCATGTTCACTGCCATCACATCTCACCCAGAATGCACACACTGTCTGATCACACACTACATATGCTTATTCCATTTTGTTTACAGGTGATTTTAAAATGTGCTAGAGGGTACCGCTAGCATGCAACAGACCCTCAAGTGTTACATTGTGTGGCACAAAAAGAACTACAAGTATGTCTTGCAGAAATGTGCATTGTAATGAGAATCAATGAAACCCACAGTGATTACACTGACATGATTCAGCATATGTTACAGCAGGCACATATGAATGGATGTTAATTCTTGACTGCAGTAATTATATTTGTGCATCACACCTACTGACAGCATGGGGTATGCTAATGAAGAACAGGTGCAACAAGTGGAATTGGAACACCTGAGTAAAAGGACAATTGCAGCTAAAACTACAGTCAAATATTCACTCATTGTTTCTCAATGTAAGATTTTCCCTCATTTGATATTGAATTTCAAAAATCCCAAGCCAAATAATCGCTGTTAAAATTCTCCCACTCAATATTTTCCTCAATTTAGTGCTCAAATACTCTGGGCCCCTCACAAATATTAAGTAAGGGTTTCACTGTATAAACTCAGCACATACAATGGGCAGTCAAAAAGTTCCCGGAATGGTGGTATAGCACTCTTAATGGTAGGACATACAGCAACGCTTACCTAATCTCCTTCAAAGTAGGACCCTTGCGCGCACACACACTTGCTCCATCGATCCTGCCACTGTTGGAAGCAGCGGTGGAAGGCTTCTTTTGGAATTTTCAGGAGCTCAGCCATCGCATTCAATTTGATGTCCTCCATGGTTGCAAAATGTGTCCCCTTGAGGCCCATTTTCAGAGTAGGTAACAGCTAAAAGTCGCTCAGAGCAAGATCCAGAGAGTACGGTGGTTGAGTGATGACAGGAATGCTTTTCTCGGCGAGGAATTGCTGCACAACAAGCGATGTGTGGCTTGGTGTGTTATCATGATGCAGAAACCACTGTCCCTGCCACTTGTTGCGCCGCTTCCTCCGAACCACATCGCACAACCTCTGTAAAACTTGCATGCAGAAATGGCCAGTAACACTACCAACTTCTTGCTCCAACTCCGCGATAGTCATTCTTTGATCACATTGAATTAGTTATCACACTTTTCCAATAATTTCTTTGGTTCTGGATGTCGAAGGTCTGCTGTGCTGGTCATCCTCTAACGACTCCTGCCCATTCTTAAACCAGGAAAACCGGTCGCAAACTGCGGATTTCTTTAGTGCAGTATCACCGTAAACTTGCTGCAGGGCTGAGAGCATCTCTGAAGCAGATTTTCCCAATTTGTACATGAACTTGATGTTCGCATGCTGTTCGAACTGTGACAATGTGCCAAATGACCAACACTCACATCTAATTCAAATGGAACAGTAACGACACTGCACACTGAAACCTGACCAGACCTGTTGCGCTTCCCACGACAACGGTGTGTGCGCTATCTTATCTGGGGGGGGGGTATTCTATGACAGTTGTCAGTATATCTGACTACCCAGTGTCAAATGGTAGGAAAACTTGATGGATGAATTTGAAGGAAATGGCTACAGCCTGCCTCACTTAGCCACTGTGAATCATTTGCTCAGAGAAATGAACAACATGATAAACTCAAGACAGCCACTGTTCTGACCAAGATCTGAACCAAGCACCTCCCAAACAAAAGTCTTGAAGCATTACCACTATATGAACCAACTGCAGGAGTCAAGGCAGCTCAGTCAGTACAGTCACTGGCTACACACTGGGTAAATCAAGGTTCAATTTCCAGCATGGGCAACAGGTTTGCCCTGCACCACTGTGTCCAAACCAATTCTGAGGGCTACACACCTTCTTATTCAATTTGTATGGAGGGGCTCTATTCCCAGGGGTAAAGCAGCTAGGGCATTATGTTCACCACTCCCCTATACATCTTCATGGTCTGCTGTTTAGACACAGGGACATTAGAACCAATTTTATTGAACATTACACATGCAGCAAATGATTCAGCGCCTACAACTGCCTGGTGGTCATGAAAAATGACCACGTAAACAAATGGACACAGAGTACTGTGCTAAGACAGATGGAGCATTCTAAAAGGGATGTGAGAACAGGACTTGGAGGAAGGGATTGGAATTAATGATGCTTGTGGGGCACGCAGTAGCGTAGTGGTTGAGGGGCTATGCTACAAGCCAGAAGGTCGTGGGTTCAAGACCCGATGAGGTCATTGGATTTTTTTCAGTTGACCTAATCCTTCCAGCTGCACTAGGCCCTGGGGTTTACTCAGCCTCTAACAGAAATGAGTACCACAAATTAATTAAATAATTTTCCTGGGGACTAAAGCGCGGCCAGTGCATAAGGCTGACAACCTTGCTGTTGTGGTCGGTTGATGTGGCTCATTAGGTTCACCTTCTAAGGACACACCAGGCAGACTGAGGCTGTGATGTTTCAGTAGTAGTATCTACACCTAAACATTCTGTACAGCCACTCTGTAGGGGTACTTGGTGCTGTTGCCAACATTGACTGACCTGGCCCAAGTTTCACTGTTGACATTTTCAGACACCTCACTATCGCTGTCCAGGATGTGATCAGACTTTACTGTCTTATCTTTCTTCTTTGGGGAACCCTGTCAACTTGGTGGAAACTGTGGTTGTGAATTCTTGAGAAAATAATGGAAACATAATTTTCTGTCAAGTCACAACCAAGGTTTTATATACATACATATACACAAACACATGCATCCCCCGTCCCCCCCCAACTGACCACGGTGAGAAATGTATGCCAAGCCATTCTGAACTGTCAGCTGGATCACCCTGAGAACAAAACCTAATGCACCTGACACAAAGAAATCTTTACTGATGTGTATTTTATAGTTTCTGGGTTGAGAGCCCTGGCTGACCTTATAAGAAATTTAGAGGACAAATGATTCATTCACTACAAACCTCTTAACTGTACAGCAGACCTAACCAAGCTTCCTTCAATGTTGCTAATTCTCATGTTCTCAAGAAGGAACCTATACAAATTACATTCCCAAGCTGGAACGTACATATGTTAAATGCTCTTCTGCTATGGGCAGAGCAGAAGGGAGAGTGGCTTTACACTTTCCTTGTCTTCCGTCCTTGTTCATCCTGAATTTGTAAGAGACCCAAACCTTTCCCCTCAATGCATCAGTGGTTTTGTTGGACCAAAAATCTACATAAACACATGAACACTCACTTCAACCCTGAAGATGGGGGCAACATGTTCCTCTGAAATGTCATTTGATGTTCCATGGACTACATGGCCAGCGTTATATCCTAGAAGACAGAACTCTTTTAACGTTTTACCCGCTCTTTTGTATGGGAGAAACTCGGTCTCTCACATTAAAGGAACACAGACTAAATGTGTTTAAGAACAGGATGTAGAGTGGAATATTTGGAACTAATGCGGAGGAAGTGACACGACGATGGAGAGAACCACACAATGAGAATCTTCATAATTTGCACTGTTCATTAATTAAGGTGATCAAAACAAAAGTGAGATGGGCAGGGCATAAAGCATAATTGGGTAGAAATGGGTTATTTTACAATACTGTCAGTATCTGGAATAAATAGTGTCGGACGGTAGGATGACTGCTGAATAATGAATTGGAAAGAATTACTTGCTAATTCTGGAGTTTGTAATGAGTATATTTGTGTCAGATGGATGAGACTTAGCTGGGCAGGCATCTGGAACAATGAAGTGATTATCAGTCATAACTGCTTGACATGAAGGTTTCCCCAGGTGCTCCTCAGAATGTACGCAGCATCTGTGTTGGTATCATCTTCATTCAGTGACTGCAGCACAATGTTTCTGTTAATGTTTTATTTTTTGAACCACACGCCCAAAATCCATTCAAATAGAGTCTAGAGTAAGTGTGGTATGAAAACTAGATAAAATACTGTCACTGGAATAGATATAATTTGGGACAGTTGCACAACAAATAATCAAAAAGAAACAAAATACACACTACTTGCTCAACATTTGTTTTCATTCATTGTTGTGCTATCGCTACACATTTCGACACTTTTACTGGGTCACCCTCAGGCGTACATGAATACTATTTAGCTTCTGAATTGTGTCATTAATATGAATTCATATTGTGTCTGTGTGATTATACTGACAATTATATCTTAATTTTAAAATGTGGGTCAAATGTGGTTAAAACTAGACAATAAACTTCATATTAAATTCCTAAAAATTAAAATTACAATAAAAATTGCTATTAAAGTATTACTAAACAATATTACACATTCCATTTTAGCTTTGTACCTGCTACATATTGTGTTGTTGTGGTTCCACTATGGTGGTGATACTATGTATGTATGTATTATGAGAGGGGGTGGGTTTTCCCCATGCACTTAGACCGGTAATGGTGTGTGCCATCAGCCCCCGTAGAGCCAACGAGGTTGCCCCCAGTACCTCGATGCTTCCCCCATCCACCAGAGGCATTGGAGACTACTTGGGCGGGAAAATGCATGTAATTTAGCTCAGAGGTCTCCTAGAGACGAGGTTCTTTTACGTGCTGTAAATCTACGACACGGGACACACAGCTTAAAGTGCCTCCCGGAGGACTTGTTCCCTGAATTTTTCCACCCTTAAAAATTCCACGACCTCCGCCGGGTTTGAACCCGCGTACCTTGAGTCATGAGGTGGGAACGTTACCCCTAGACTATGGAGGCTGCTGTGGTGATACTATGCTGCAGGGTATCTGCTTGCTGGGATCTTTCTTCAGAATAGGTCGTGTTGGCTTTTTTCTTTTTTGACCTTCCTATTAAATGTATGAAGGCTGGATATGTTGTTTGGGGTATCCAACTCAGACTGTTTATACTTGGACTGGGATGCTTGAATTTGATATAATGTATATATGCAGATCCCCGTGGTTAATGTTACTGCTGTGCTGCAGCTGTTCTGTCTGCCAGACAGAATAAAAACAAATGTTGACACAGGCATGTCTATTTTGTTTCTTTTTGATTGTTTGTTGTGTGACTGCCCCAAATTATATCGATTTGTAGATAGGACACAACAGGATGCATACAATAAAGGCTCTCAGTGGAAATGTCACAGCATGTTCAGGATATCGCCCCCCTTCTCTCTCAAACCTTGAACAGTGCTGATGCCAATGAACAGCAGCAAAGACTGCACAACTGCAACAAAGTGTCATCACATTTGAGAAGTGCATCGGTTCCCTCTGCTCTCAAGCATTCAATCATTTTTGTACAAACACGCTTCTCAGCCTCTTCTGGACCACAGACTAATTATTTTCATACTTTTATTTTCAATTACTTTTATTACAAAGAGAACTTATAAAGTAGTATCACTTAAATTCTGTTCTTATCAGCTTCTTATATTCAGACATCATAACACCAATATGCATTACTTCAATCACTTACCAACACTGTGCAGAGGGAAATGAACAGAATAATATTGTAAGAGCTAAGTTACCACATAATTGCTTGCAATACATGACAAAAACTCTATCCTTGTTAATGCAATTGAAATCAATTGGATTCAGATGCAGTGTCTTAAGCATAAGAATGTAAAGCGGGCAGGACGTTGCTTCACTTCCACAGTCAGTGCACATATTTCGCTCAACATACAAGTATGTATGTTGCTTCCATTCACATACTAATGGAGCTGGCTGTTAAATAACCATCAATCAAAAAAACATTTCTCTGTGGATCTCAGCCCCAGTCATAGTGCTTTGTCTCTGTAATGAACTGTATCAGACTAGGTATCAGGGGCATGGAAAATTGAAAGAAATCTGCCTGCTTATTTCTCAAATGATGATAATTCCTAACAGCTTACAAAGAACAAGGACAGAGGTGCAACTTATAGGTAACTTACGCGCTTACAACATTTCCATTTGAGGGCATACTCTTTTCAGACCAACCATTCACTTCCCATTTATTGCCGGTACACCTGTGTCCATCGCTTCATCATCATCTTCCTCCACCAAGGGAGCTGTCAAAAATGAGAATGTGACACCAATGTTACTTGCACGACCATCCATCAGTAAATCTACTACAATGACTGCCAACTGTGCTTACCCACCACTTCACATCAGTAAGTAGCAGTGTCAGTTAAAAGACTTGTAATTTGTGAAGTCTCAGGGAAAGTGTTTAGCACTGACACACTTTTGTTAACTGAAGCCTGAAATTCCCCTAAATAATATTTAAATATTCAGTTCCTACAATACACAGAAACACTGCATCTCCATCACAGATAGTCATTTCCAGCTGTTAGGGAAATAGATGCTGTTTATTCTGAAACTCATATTAAACATAAATATGATGTGAGGGGAAAATGCAGTGTCCTTTAATGTCAATGCTGGTGGTACATACAGGACCACAGTGTAATTGTGCTAGAATGAGTATGACATATAACAAGAACTCTGTCAGAATGACAATAAGTGAAGTTTTGTTTTTAATTCTCTTACAGGGGTAATGTTAGCTCCAAACCCTAATTTGGATGTGTCAGCAAAGGTTTGTACTCACCCTTGTTGCTCTGCCGGCCACCTCTGCCTGGTATCTGGCCGGACTGCAGTAACCTGTTCAATCTCTCCACCTCTTCCAATGAACTGGCCTTCGAAATTGCATCACGAATCTTCCATAGTTCTTCCTGGGACGGGCCTGCAATATTATACACTTCGAAAATCAGTAGGAATGGAATGGACAATGAAAAACTGACTGGTCCAGCTCCACTTGTAAAAGATAAGAATTGGGAAAAATGCTGTGGTATTTTCATACAGAGAGTGTCATTATTATTATTTTTATTGGAGGGGGTGGGTTTCCCCATGCACTTAGACCAGTTATTGGTCCATTGTGCGTCCCCCTTTAATTTCTAGTGTCCCCATACCCTACCGGTAGACGGTGCGTGCTATCAGCTCCATTGAGCCAACAAGGTCAGCCCTCAGTACCTTGATACTTCCCCCATCTACCAGAGGCATTCGAAACTACTTGGGCGGGAAAGTTTTCACCTAATAATTTTGCTCAGAGGTCTCCTAGAGACATGAGGTTCTTTTACATGCCGTAAATGTACGACATGGGACCCACGGCTTAAAGTCCCTACTGGAGGACTTGTACCCTGAATTCTTCCGCCCTTAAAAATTCCACAACCTCCGCCGGGTTTGAACCCGCGTACCTTGAGTCATGCTGAAGCACTTGAAAGCGATTTTCACAACCAACTGTTTTCTCACACGCTTGGCAATGAAGAGTTGTAATTTAGTTTTCTGACTTACTTTCACTTTTGGCATTACTACAGAAAGCTAAACAAACTTAACTACAGACTAGTCACCACTAATGTGAATGGCCCCCAGCTTCAAATGAAGAAGCATAACAAAGCTCATGGAGACTTCGGAAATAAATAAGTAGAGTCCTTTATTGGGTGAATAGTATTACGTTTATATTGGCTACATGTGAACGCTTCTGACTAATCTCTTCGCGGCCACTTTGACGGTACGCGGATGAGGCAAGTTACGAATAGAGGGATCGGGAAGTCCCGTCCTGGGTATTGCATCAGAAACATGAATCATGACAAAATGTTGAGTCAAATATGCAACATATTCTTGTATGGAAAAGAGAAATTGTATACACATGACCACGATTGAAAATTTGAACACAAAATTAAAAAATACATATGATAAACATTTTAAAAATGAAATATGCAGTATAAATAGAGATCTTCGAAAATATGATGCTTATTCATAAAACAGGCAAAATATGCATTTATATGCACCATCAAACCATGTCCAAAATTTAAGAAATGAAGTAATTCACACATATCCAAATAAGCATACTTTCTGGTTGCAAGAAAGAAATATGCATTTGCATTAAAATCTGGTCGCTAGATATTACTGACTGTAGGAAAACAGAGAGGACAAGGCCAGGATAGCATCTGAGGGCATAAAATTCATACCAAATTTAATCAAATTCCATGTGAACAAACAGACAGGCAGACATGATTTTCTCTATGTCTGATCTTTTAGCATAAGAAATAATCAACAGCAAGCAGACAATGACAAAAAGTTACCTGAAGGCTTGGCTGTGTCAGGCAGACCTGCTCCTGGAACAAATGTCTTCGATTTCTTTGCTATCTCCTTCTGCAACTCCTTGCCCTTCTTGCTCTTGAAAAGCGCACTTGCATCTTCCCTCTCCTGCCACATGAAAAGCAAGAAAGTGACTTGACCTGCCCATTATTCTGAAGAGTCCCATCTTCCCAGACACAATGCAGTGTAGTCTACAGAAAATAAACTGGTATTTCAGAGGAACATGTCATCTCCATTTTCAGGACTGATGAGTAGGCCAAGCAAGAATGAACAAGAAGCAGAGCACATGACTTGTGAGAACACAGGTTTATGCAGAAGTAGAAGGCAGCTAGAAAGCCAACCATCAGTTGCCACTGGCTCTATCAGAGGACCTGGGTGAAAGAATAAGGGAGACTGTCATGAACAAGACAGTGAGGAGTATTCTTAAGACATCACTTTATTACTATCTCATGCAACTGGAACACAAATATTGAAAAAGTTGTTTCACAGTTGCTCTATTAGTGCTACCACTCTCACTAGAATGTAGAACTGTCCGTCTCTTCATCCGGGCTAACCACTATCTTATGTCGGCGCACACTACTCTCTGAACGCAAACTGTCTTCTCTCTGTGCTCATTGTACACTGGCTCTTCACACATACCACACACAAAATCTTCTATCAGTCCTCAATTTCTGTCAGCCCACACAGTCTTCTATTTGTATGCACTGGCTGGCACATGCTTCGCGTTGCGCTGAGTCAACGCTTCTCAACAGAGATAGTGACCTGGTGTGGCCATTGAGAGGGACAGTCGTAAAGACATGGGAGCACTGGGGGTGTGGAGGGCAGAGAGCTGAGGAGGGTGGGAGAAATGTCATGTGCGTTGGTTGTGAGCATGTGGCTGGGGATAAGAACAGCAAAGACAAAAGAATAAGGCACACTCTCCTTGGTTCTGTGCCCACCACACACCACTGTGACTTCTGTCCCACATGTTCCCATATGTGCACAACTGATACTTTCATGGTGCAAACCTAGTCACCCTTCCCCTGCATCCTGTTGGTTCACCCTGGTTCTCTGATAGAGCTGATGGTAACTAATGGGTTGGGTTCCTAGTTTCCTTCTGCTTCTATAGAGTCCCAAATTTTAGCAAGCCACATGCTCTGATTGCTACCTACTTCATGCTGGTTTCTTCCTTGTCTTACTCTTCAACCAGAAGATGGAGGCAACATGTTACTTTAAAACATCCGTTGACTTTAAATGGATTACATGGCATTATACCCTGGAGACAGAACCCTTCATGCCCACTGCTGTGGGAACCTCAAATCTTAAAATGTTCCTGATTTTAGTCTGAAAGCCCAGTGTGCAATGCCCCATGCCTAACAGAAAGACAAGTTTCTGATCTGAGATTCTAACAGTCATGACCCTGAATACTGCCATCTTCTGGCATACAGCAAAGTTTATCTTGTTGTGGGCCTTTCTACAGTACTGTCAGTATCTAAACAATATAGAGGATCTACCCCCACCAAAAAAAAAATGTTGGGACTTCTAACACCTGTAACTCAGGAATATAAACAGATATGATAATGTTGGTACTTTCAGTGTAATCATAAAATCAAACAATTTCACTGAAATAAAGTGTGTGCGAACTGCAACCGTAGTTAATGGACTGCGGCTTTGATTACATGTTTGTGCATTCAGTACAGTGTCTATCATAGAGCAGGAAGCACAGACCGTGTTGTGGTACGCAAAATCTGAATCCATTATTTGAGTTCAAGGTGAATTTTGACATGAGTATAGAATGAGATCATCCAATGGCAATAGCATTAGGAGATGATATGAGTAATTTAGAGAGACGGTGTGGAAAAAGACAATGGATTGGGCTGCCTAGGTCATCTGATGAAGACGTGGATCTTTTTAGCCATGCTTTCATATAGAGTCCAAAGAAGTCGATCTCATGAACAAGTGCAGAGCTGCAGACACTGCAAACAATGACCACAGAATTCTTTGGAAGAATCTACATCTAAAACCATGCAAATTGCAGGTAGTTCTCAAACTATATGACAAACAGCTCAGGTGACCGTTTGCAGCACATGTGTGCACAAATTTTGGAAAATAGTAATTTCTTAAGCCATGCTGCCTTCACTCATGAGGCAAAATTTCACATTTCTGGAGTTGCCAGTTGGCATAACTGTGTCATTTAGGGCAATGAGACCCCCAAAGAATATTTATAACACGATCGAGATAGTCCTAAGTGAACATATGGTGCACGCTGACACATGAAAGAGTCATCGGCCATTTTTCTTTGATGATAACATCATTACAAGCAATTTGTTTCCAGATATGTTGCAAAATTATGTTCTTCCATGGCTTAACAACAGCAGAAGTAGCAGCAGAGGCAACAACAACAAACAACAGCATCAACCTTATTCTTCAACTGTACAGTCAACCTGTTCCTTTTTTGCTCACACTGTCCATGACTGTTTGAATATGAATTTCCCAGGCTGATGGATAGGAAGAGGAGGAACAAACTTGTCACTCCGTCGTTCTAGAACATTGTCCTTTGGGATTGTGTGAAAGAATAGGTGTACAGCCAAAGAGTGAATATGCTAGGCGAACTCAAAGCAAGGGTAACTGCAGCAATTACATGGACATGTTACAGCACATCTGGCAGAAGGTAGATTACACATAGAGAGGCACAGCTGGTGCCCACTGTGAAGTGTTTCGCACATAACAACTTCTCCATTTCAACTGATAGATAAAACACTGCAAACAGAACATGCATACCTGTTTTACATCCCTAGGCTACAGGTGCCTGAAATCCTTGCATTCTTTTTGGTAGAACCTGTACTGTCAAATGGTAGAACTGACACATGATGAACTGGAATGGATTTGGAAGGATGTAGTCATGACATCATTTTAGCAATTATCCGAGCATATATGGAATGACTGCCGAAGAACACACAGAACCTCAGTCAGAATAGACAGTGTCCTAGCCAAGTCTCAAACTGAACATGAGCCTATAGCATTACTGCTGTATAAAGCTGTGTAGTTTGGAGGCTAGGTATCAACATCACAAAGGAAGCAGTTAACTCTGCCTTCAGGGTAGGAAGCAGGTTCCTCCAAAATGTTGGTTCCTACCTGCCAAACTACAAAGCAACACATCGAAGACTGTAACTTCAACAAGACATGAAAATATTGTAACATGTTTTGCTGGTTACTGATCCCACTTCTGACACCAATGTAACGTGTTTACGTTACTGACGACGCCGTAGAGATGGTTAATTGGTTTATTTAACAATCTACGAGAACGTCTACAATTAATGATAACAATATTACGGGTTTCCACACTTTACAAACCCTAGAACAAAATCTCTTAACACTCTCTTCGAGAGTCTTCACGTACTAATAATGCGGGAGCTATACAAGTCTCCCTGAATTACACACTCCGAGTATAACTGTACTACAGCACTCACTATGTCTGGAAAGCACACAATAAGTCTTCCGCTCGCTGACTTCTTAGTTATCGCACACTCGCAGGCTGCTATGTTTCAACTCGACTCGGCGACTGATACTTTATAACTTGCGAACTCAGAACTAACTCGGAGGTAGCTCGCTTATAAACCCTCAGCAGGTCAACGAGAAAACAACCACGTGGTAGGCATCACTGTTTATCCGTGTTGCCTGGCGACCGCGATATCCCTTGGTGACGTCACCGCGGGGAGAGTGGTGGGGTGATGACTCGCCTATTACGCAAGCGCTACGCTACCGCTACGTGCAGCTGGGGAGGTAGGGGTCAACATGTCACAATATCAAAAATTCTGCACTTCTGGATACACCATGGTGCTTCCATAAACTTGCATCCTCCTCCACAACAGATGTATGTAGTGACACAGTTAGTTGCCAGTGCCTAACTTTTGACATGCACTGCACGCACCATTTCCAGTCCCACAAGGGTTGGCAAGATAATCATGGAAATTTAGGGAGCAGAAAATCACAGACAGCACTGGTCAGAGTAGTTTGTTCCCAAAGCCATGGCATACTACACGATTGCTCACGCTGTACTGGGACCACTGCTGATCATAACTGTGCTGGAAGAATCACAATTCACTGACCTTCATCTTGATTTTGCGAAAGTCCAGTAACCGGAGGTGAGGTAATTTGAAAGCGACATAGAGGCGGTAGTGTTGTCTTGTTGTGACTGGATTGTGAAGAAGGCTCAATGTTCGCAGAGACTTCATGTTAGCAAGGGGATCCAGGTCTGCCAACTCAAGTATCAAGTTTCCAGTCAGCACCAACGTTTCCAAGTTTGGTAGGCACAACTCCAAACCTTCTGCTATCCTCCTGAAATATAAGGTAAGGTTCATGCACATCAGGCAGATCCATTAAGCAACATGCATATGTATGAATGCACTCGTGCGCGCGCACACGGGCACATGCACGCGCGCACGCACACACACACAGGGCTCTTCTTCCATGACACCGCCTACATGAAGTAAGCCATACCTTATGTGTGTATGTTTAAGATGGTCAATATGAACAATTAAACAAGACAGCTGTGTACTGAGCCGAGTCAGACAGTGCCAATGGCAGCAGGACAGTACTCACACAATGCGATTGTTATTCAGAAGAAGACACTTGAGCCTCTTCAGAAGTGGGAAGCCATCCAACTTGCGAATATCATTGTCTGAGAAGTCAACCGTGTCAAACTGATCCTGTGAACATGTTAACAAACCTGAAGCTGCATTAAAACTTTTTTCATTTTGTAAACATACACAACTACTGGCAGCACTGCTGCTATCTGTTGCCGTCGTCGTAATTGTTGTCACCTTCACCATCATCACCATCGTCATTGTCATCAAAACAACAACAACAACAATAATAATCATCATCAAACACTCTGGAAGTAGAGACCAACAGTCAAAACACTGCTAATATCAAAGCCCTCATTCAACATGACCCTGAGCCAGTTCCATGGCCCTCCAACTGGCTCAGGGTCATGTCCAATGGTGGGGTTTCGATATTAGTGGTACAGAAATTCATGCTTATGCTGCCTGGGTTAGTCAATTAGTAAGATGGTTTTCATGGAAATAGGCTGTGGGAACTCATACCAGCACATGAACTGATGCTAGATGTCACACCTCTCATAAATCTGACTCTAAACTAAACTAAAATTAACCAACCTACACTACACTAAACTAAACTACACTAACCTAAACCAAACCAACCTACTGAACAGGCTGGCACAGTGTCAAAGCTAGACATGGGACATGTTTGGATCGAATCTCACTGCCAAGACTGTGATTTTTCAAATAACTTTTCTATAGACAAAACACCATAAACAGGAACTGGTAATTTCATGAAGTTCACTGCTTTTATGTTCTGAACATAAAGATTCTGGACCACAAAAGCAAAAATTGATGCTGCTTCTTTTGTAGATAAAGGCTGTCCCAAAAGTGCACATGTTAATTTCTGATGTAACATCTTGAGTTATATTTTTAAAGAAAAAACTGAATTTAACTGCCATTTCTATAGTTTGAACTCACCAGTGTTGCTCCCATATTCTCAATAACAGGAATCTTATAACCTGCAAACAGGAAACAAAGTAAGAAAAATTTAGCCAATAAAGAAAGAATGCTGAACAAATCTTAACAGATTAAATAAATGTAGATAGAACCTTTGCTATTTCCACTTCTAAAATGATTCCATTCACCTTAGAGCTACAATGGTTTCCTATACGAAGAAAGCAATGACACTGGAGCACTTGAAAGTAACTAGTGACATCTTTGTACAGGAGCAATAAATATTAGGGTAAGTCAATAAGTAAGTTACAAATGGATATAGAACTTAACCAAATAAGAGAACTGATCTGAAAAATGCTTTTATTTCTCAACATAATCTCCCTGTACATTGAGGCACTTGTCCCATTTCACAAGCCCCTGAAAACCAGCAGCATAAAATTCTTTGGGCTGCTGTCAGAACCAGGCGTGTTCACACGGCATGGCCTACCTCATAATGCATGACAGCTTAGGTTTTCACAAAGTCTGTGCATGATGGGTGCCGCGCAGGCTGACCCCACAACACAAAATGCAAAGAATGGTTCTGGATTTACAGCATCTCAATCGCTACCACAATGAAGGACATGATATGCTAGCCTGAATTGTCATAGGTGATAAGTCTTGGGTTCACCATTCCCAGCCCAAGACAAAGTGTGTGTCAATGTAGTGGAAACATCCTGCATCACCTGCCAAAAAATAGTTTAAGGTGACACCATCCTCCAGGAAAGTGATGCTGTACAGAGGTGTAGAAAGAGATGTCACCGCCTGGTTCTGACCGCAGCCCAAACAATTTTATGCTGCTGGTTTTCAGGGGCTTCTGAAACGATGTNTTCTGGATTTACAGCATCTCAATCGCTACCACAATGAAGGACATGACATGCTAGCCCGAATTGTCATAGGTGATAAGTCTTGGGTTCACCATTCCCAGCCCAAGACAAAGTGTGTGTCAATGTAGTGGAAACATCCTGCATCACCTGCCAAAAAATAGTTTAAGGTGACACCATCCTCCAGGAAAGTGATGCTGTACAGAGGTGTAGAAAGAGATGTCACCGCCTGGTTCTGACCGCAGCCCAAACAATTTTATGCTGCTGGTTTTCAGGGGCTTCTGAAACGATGTGACAAGTGCCTCAATGTAAAGGGAGATTATGTTGAGAAATAAAAGCATTTTTCAAATCAATACTCTTATTTGTTTAAGTTCTATATCCATTTGTAACTTACTCATTGACTTACCTACATATCTGTAACCTATACGTACTTGGTACTTGCCACACTGTAGAAACTGGACATGCTTGACACACTGAAATTCAAACAAATCTGAACTGACAATTTACTCTTGACCACCACAACCCACTGCAACATTCCTAGCCTCTCAATGAACTGCCATCTCCGTCTGTCAGTGTGGACCTCCCAATGCTACATAAAACAGTGTGGCCACAGCAGAGAACAAACACCGCATGGAACTATAATATTCATGTTTGACTGAAGTGCTTAAAAATTGGAAATATGATTCAGTAAAAGCGTAACATGGATTCTACAAAACTCAGCTCTTCCTTCTGCAGAAACGATTCTGTTAATCAGACAGCATGGAGAAAGCTCTGGGGCAAGGAGGGTTAATCCAGTATCTGTACCCAATGCAAATATAGGATCCATGAAATAAGCTCTACACAAATTGGTGTTGTTTCACTTGTAAGAAGAGAAGCCAGCATAGCTCAGTCAATACGGCTTCCAGTTCGCATTGTCAGCCAATTTACTCTTATCCCTAACTCCCAGATTAACTCTGGGGCCTGACCAGCCCCATATGCAACGAGTACTAGGGGCTATTTCACCTGGGGGCTTGAAGCTGACCACTCACCTCTACTGCCAATGTAATGAAAGGTGAAGCTACACCTCCAATCCCTCATATGTCTCCATGGGGTGGTGCTTAATTAATTAAGCCCAGGAACAATTTTACCTTTACCCATTAAAAAAAAAACAAACATAACTGAACCTATAAACAATGTTGTATGTCTGTGACTGGATGCACAGCCTGCCAAAACTACATCTGTGTTGTATGTAAGCAACACTGAACACATACATCACACACATCAGAATGCATTATGTTGAGCGAGCAATCTTCAGCAACTTGGTGCGACATATTATATGAAATTTGGTAGGCTACATGGTACATGTCAGGCCCAGCAGCTGTAAATACGCAGTTCAGAAACAGGTGTATGTGGTCACAGTATTGTTATGGAATTTCACAAACGAGTGGATTCTTCAATTTGAGCGAAATGTGTAATTCGGGTTCGTTCTTTTCAATGTCATAATTCCACAGCAGCTTTTTAAAATAACCATCCTCCCCCTTGTTTGGTTATGGGCTTGGGTTAGGGGGGAAAGAAAAAAAAAAGAGCCTATACTGTTATTTTTAACCAAATCTTCACCAACCCTTGCTGCGCTCATACGCCAATTCAAAATACTGTTACACAGGTTAGAATCAACGCCAATATTACCTCGCAGGTCTAACTCCCTGTCCCTTACAGGATTTATGTACTGCATAGACTGCTGTATTAGGTCTGGTGTTAATTTCACCATCCTTGAGCGTCTCTTTCTTCAGTCAGCTAACAAAGTAATTCACGATTAAGAACTTAACACTCTCACGTTCTCCACTTTACACGCTTTCCACCATCTTGTATACCACCACGACCCCCACCGCCCGAAGCTGAGTNAAAAGGGGGGGGGGGGGAACATGACCGCGGTGACGTCACGCAGCATTACTGCTGCCATCTCTACGCAGATGTACCCTGACTAAATGAAAAATGCTCACCAGCACCGACATTATCATCAATCAAATAGAATGTTACCATACCATCGTATGCAATTCTATGCGTCCTCCTCTCCGCACCCTTCGCAACCAGTTCACTTGAATAGCAACACACACTTTTGCAACCTAATCTCTTGTGCTGCAGAGGTTCTTGCTTCGTTGTTTCTTTTTCTTTTTCTGAACTGGGTTCAATATCACTTCACTCATATCAGTTCCACAGAACATGAGAGAAGTGATATTGCAAAATCAGAAAGTTTCTCAGCAGTGCCTGTAAAGCCGTAACATTTCATTCATATCAATCCAACATCTCCTTACCCAAATGCATTGGACATTGTGAACTATAACGTATATAGAATGCTTGTGTTTTGGAAAGCTGAAGGTGGGGAACTTGAAAGAAAATTCTGTTTCCATCACACATACTTCTATTTAACCTCACACCTTTGGTAACAACTTACACTTGAAAGCCACACAGAACATAGTTTTTTGGTTACATTAGAGCATTATAAATCATATATAGTGAGCAGTAATACTGACGTTTCCATTTATTATTAATTTCATTAGAATGATGTTCAGTACTGGACAGGATTATATGGCAAAAGTACAACATATCTTACAGAATTACAATGAATACTGAAATCTATATGGGAAAGAGTAACATACCTTACAGAATACTGGAAATTTGATATTCATCTTCCACTACAGTACTGGACAGAACTATTTCGTAAAATGAATAAAACTTTACAGAATACTGGAAATATAGTATTCATCTTACACTTCAGTACTGGACAGGATTATTTGGCAAAATTAATAACATATCTTACAGAGTACTGGTAATCTGATATTCATTTTCCATCGCAGTACTGGAGAGGATTATTTGACAAAATTAATAATATATTTTATAGAATACTGGAAATATAATATTCATGTTCCACTTCAGTACTGGACAGGAATAAATGGCAAATATAATACAAGCATGAAGGTCGCAGGGTCAAGTCCCAATGAGGTGGATTTTTTCAATTACCTAATCCTTCCAGCCGCACTATGGCCCTGGGGTCGACTCAGCCTCTTAACAGAAATGAGTACAAGGAATAATCTGGGGAGGGGGGAAAGGGTTCCCTGTGCATAAGGCTGACAACCTTACCGCCATCTATAAGCCGACTGTCTAGAAAATGTGGGAGCCTCAACATCTCACAACTCTATGGGCCTCCATGGCCTGTTACAGGGATATCTTTACTCTTATAACATATCTTATAGAATACTGGAAATCTGATATTCATGTTCCACTACAGTACTGCACAAGAATAATTGGCAAATATAATAACATATCTTATAGAATACTGGAAATCTGATATTCATGTTCCACTGCAGTACTGCACAAGAATAATTGGCAAATATAATAACATATCTTATAGAATACTGGAAATCTGATATTCATGTTTCATTTCAGTAATGCACAAGATTATATGGCAAAATTAATGTGTCATGTATAGTGCTTCGAACCCTAAGGACAACTATGACATGGCGTGCAAGTTTTTTTGTAGTTCAATTTAATGGCTTCATGTCACTCACAAGTTAGTCTGATGTTACATAAATTATTAGCATTACAAAAACCACATATTCCTGCCAGTTTTAATATGTATTTGGTAATCAACAAGTGTGTAACACCTTTCGAAGTTTCACACTTCTCTGGCCATTACTTCCGTAACCGTTCAACTTTGGGCATAGGTGTTTTGGGTTATATTGGCATACTTTAACATAAGGAACACCCTCCCGAAGTCTGGCACATTCCTCCTGGGACACCTTGTGTATATATATATATATATACACAAGGTGTCCCAGGAGGAATGTGCCTGTATTAATAGTCTTCATTATTTATATATTCCATGTTATTATTTTACTAGCATCTTTATTTATTTTTAAACTTCTGTATCATTCATTCAGTACTCTGTCTTTATAACTAAAATGACATTCTAGATAGTGTAATGTTCCATATAAACACCCATGAAACTGGTGACCAAATATCAGAAGCACACAATGTGAATTACAAACATAGACAAATGAACTGAATCAATAGTTCTTATGGGAAGATCAAATTGCATTCTTTCACAACCCTGAGATAGTGAAATGTAATACAATGTGTTCAACCAACGAGGAAACTTCGCAACACCGCTGGGTGCGAACAACATTCCTCCTCTGCTCCCACATAGCTGTGTATATTTCCACACAGTCTGCTTTTACCGGTTCTCATGGTCTCTTTGCTTGCAGATTTCTTATATTTTTTCTTCTACCCTAAGATGGAGGCGATACGTTCCTCCGAAACGTCGGTTAACACCACATATACACGGTGCCAAATCCCAGAAGACTGCTTTCTTCATAGTCACCGCCGTGAAAGCCTCAAATCCAACATTCCTCACAGATTGCTGCTGTAACTGCTGATAGCAGAATGAGTCATTAACGCTGATAAACGAGCATCAGGTGGCCTGATTTTGTCACTTCAGTAAGTTGCATTAATAGTCAGTCTTTGTTAGAGGTGTTGATAGGCGGTCGACATTTATACTGAATGCAGGAAAGAAATTATGTTTACTCTCAAAATAAAACGAATGTTGTCATTCATCTGGTGAGTAAAATGATTTTATTCTCTTGTACAATGATGTATATATAATTTGTCTCCACTTCACATTACAAATTAAGTTATTATTATTTTACAAGGCACAACGTTGGACAATACAAATGACAAGATTTTATACAACCCAAGGAGTTCTCTTTATAGACAGAAGGTGATTTAATAATGTATAATGTTAGCACATTAAAATGGAGGCTGTGTTGTGGGCGTGCTACTGTTAAGAACACCAATGTTTTCATTTGTAGAATCCTCATTGTAAACTAATTGGCTAGTTTGATGAAACAAACTTGACAGTTTGAACATATTCACTACAGATCATCATCACATGAACAAGACATTTTGAGTGATCGGTATGATACATGTTTGGCAGCGCCATAGTTCAAGTGGTTAGTCGCTGGCTCCCCACCGCGGCGGCCAGGATTCGATCCCGGGTCTGGTCAAGTGGGATTTGTGGTAAACAAAGTGGGGTTGGGGCAGGTTTTCTCCAAGTACTTCGGTTCCCCCGCCAATCTTCATTCCACCAATTGCTCCACAATCATCCTCGCCTATCATCTGGAGCTGGTACAATAGGCCAGAAGTGGCCGCAGTACAAGGGACTTAGTCCCACCCCACTAGCAATAAAAAAAATGATACACATTTCAGTGCCATGGCTCTACAATATGGACCAGGCTGCCTCACAGCATTGGCAGCGGAAAGAGATAAAAGTCATATGAATAGTACTTGGGGTTCTCACAGCACTGAATACAGTAGAAGCCCTATTTAATGTGCTCGAATTTAAGGATTTCCCTCAATTAACACTCAAATAATCAATAATCACAAAGTTAAATTTTTTCCACTTAAGTGTTTCTTCCGGTTAGAGTTCAAATTCCCTGCATTCAGAAGAAACATCACATGGGGGTTCTACCGTATTAAGACTGTGGTCTTCTGGTATATGACATCATGCAGGTGTACCAAATTTCAAAGAGACCTCCTACCTACCAGACTACACAAATTCACTTCCCAAGGCACTATAAGCTCAGCTACACACACATTCTATATGGTTAGGTCTAAATGTGACATCTTCACACTGAGTGTTCAAGCATTTTCATCAGCTTGTCTGCTCACATCAAAGTTGGTGTATGTTAGTATTTATTAAGAGGAGAGACATATATATGAGCTTTTAGTCACTCAACTGCAATTTAATGGAAAATGGAAAACCATTATGTGGGCATATTCGAGGAATAACAGACATGGTAAATACAGACAAAAGAATAACTTTGCATTGCTTGAAACTAATCTGGTACTAACTCAGTTACCTGATAAGTGTCTTCCTTTGATTGAAACTTATGTAGAAGAAATGTAAAAACATACCCCAGACTGGAGAACACATTTCCTGAAATCTGATCACGATTTTCTTTACCTCATTGTCCATGATTTTTGTTTATGTTCATTTATGTTTGTAGCCATACAATATAATTTATTTCTTCTCCATATAATAAAATGTGTAATCTGACCAATATAAATCCTGTGAAGGATATCTATCTGAAATAGGATGAACTGCTTTACTGCAGCAGTCTTCTGTATTAACTGTTTAGTTGCCATTTCCTGTCACCATACCTTGAGACCAGATGTCAATACTTCGAACTGCTGGAACCACAGACTTAGTGCACAGATATCTATTAGTATGTAATGTCATAGTAAATAAGTATCCCCAGCAATGGACATGCACAAAACAATGAGGGAATTGTTTCAGAGGGATACATGAATCATGCAGCAGATGGAGTCAGTCAGTCTGCAGTGACAGAGGGCCTGAGGAGGAGGAGGAGGAGGAGGAGGGGGAGAAGAAGAAGAAGATGGCACTGGAAGGAGAGGACGAAAGTGACAGGAGTCAAACTGCCAATTTTATTCACTTGTAACCAACAGGAAGTAATACGGATAGACTTGAAAGGATTCTGACGATGGTGTATACTGTACTTCTTTTGGCTTATCGTCCAGTGAGTGAGACTAGCTCTTTCTAACTGAGTAGGTTTATCCTTCCCTACCCACCTGAAGACAGAGACAGATGCAATCTCCGAAAAGTCGTGGTCTTCTGTCTTTTACATACCAGATGATGGATGAAGTCCAAAATAAGCCAAAAGAAGTGCAGGAAGTAATACCCAATAAATCCATTTTGACTAGAACCCACAGCACTGTCACGTCACACAACAGTATCATAAGGGTAAAAACGGTAAAGCTATCCCTGTAGCAGGCAACAAAGGCACATAGGGTTGTGAGACGTTGAAGCTCCCACATTTTCTCTAGACAATCGGCTCACAGATGGCGGTAAGGTTGTCAGCCTTATGTGCCAGCCGCCCTTTACCCCCAGGAAGATTTCTAGTACTCATTTCTGTTAGAGGCTGAGGCTGAGTTGACGCCAGGGCTATAGCTGATTAGGTATATTTAAAAAATTCACTTCATTGGGACTTGAATTCGTGGCCTTCCAGCTTGTAGCATAGTGTCTCAACCAACCCTGCTACACTGACATAAATCCTGTTATGGGATGTCTCTTTGACATACATGGTTGTTGCATTCTACAGACAGCCAGCCACAGGACATGACATTTCAGTATTGGATGAATTCTTCGTATGCAATGAAAAACACTGTCAGAGACTCACATCCTGTTGTTACCTTGCAGAAACAGACCAGTTGTTGCAGAGTTACTCATGCTGCAGACAGCCATAAATAATTTCTCCCTGTACTTCATTCGATATTCACAATACCAAAAATATTCCAAGTAGAAGTCATAGATACGAATTGCATCCATATTCTACGTTGTATAGCAATTTATTGCCTGATGAGCTGAGAAAAGTAACAAAATTTGTCTGAACTTCATGTAAAGCAGGGTTTATGTATGTTTGGCTGATGTGTACAAAAAGTAAACTGAACATCTTTAGTGTAGAGCTCAAATACCAAAAATTGTTTGAAATTCGTTCTGTAGTTTGAGGTAGGAAACATGTGGACAGACAACATTGCCTCCCCATTATGCACTCACCTCATACACTCTGTGCAAAAGAATACACATAATAAATGTAATCTATAAATAATACTCATAGTTGCTATTTTTCTAATAATCAGTTAGGCAATCAAACAATGCTAATATGACACACAAGAGATGCAAGGAAATTATTTCAGAGAAATTTAGTGACAACATCAAAACTTACACATCCTTAAAGTTCTTTTGTATACACCTACAGAATGATTAGAGTCTTCTGGGATCTGAAACTGTGTAGTTCAGCCAATTAGGTATCAATATTTTGGAGGGACTACATCTTCAGAGTAGAAGAGACCGATGAACCGCGAAGGAGACAGCAGGTTCCTCACAACACAGGTACCTGTCTACCAAACAGCCCGGAGGATGCGCCATAGCTGAAGCGGTTAGTCACTGGCTTCCCACAGCAGCAGCCCAGGTATGATCCCAGGTCTGGTCAAGTGGGATTTGTGGTGGACGAAGTGGCACTGGGGCGGGTTTTCTCCAAGTACTTCAGTTTCCCCTACCAATCTTCATTCCACCAATTGCTCCACAATCACCCTCATCTATCATCTGGGGCTGGTACAATAGGCCAGAAGTGGCCGCAGTACAAGGGACTTAGTCCCACCCCACTAGCAATAAAAAAAATACCAAACAGCCCACAAGACTGCAATCATAATATTCACATCATATTCCACAAACAATTTTTGTACAGAAAGTGTAAAATTTATATGCAGTAATGAAAACAGCATGATCACATCTGTTACTTGAAACAAAGCATAGATACAATGACATCTGTCAGCGCAAGCGTCACCAAGTTAAATTCAAAAAAATTCACTGTCTGTTTGGCTTCTACATACATTTTTATTTTGACTGTGCTAAATGTGTAAACCGCACCAGCACTCCATTCTGCATAGGTATGAAAGCAGAGCTCCACACAATCATAACTTAGGAACTACATGGCACTCGGCTTAACTCTCATCAACTTCCAATTTCAATTATACAGCTACAGAGTCATTCTGGATATGGTACTCAGTGCCTCTACTGGGTATCAAACCCTAGACATTGATCATTTCAATGTCTGAACTGTAAGAATTGTTGCATTAATCAAGGAGATTACTTCATACCATTTTACTTTTGAAAATTCAGAGAAGCTATGTAAATAAAAATAAAACTCAGTATCTCATACGTCACCTGGTACTTTGATCAATTATTGATTTTATAAAACTTGACGCTTTCATGGCGATTAAAACTAATGTAATCTTCTTGTGCTACCAGTTATGACAATTTAGATTATAAGACCATGTCTCAGAGATATTCTTTGCCTCCATCATGAGGGAATGATGTGTGTGAAATGATTCCTTGATGACTGGGGCAGAGAAGGTATGCAAAATGATCAACTTCTCTTGTGAGCTGCCACAGTCACCTGAGAACAGTCTATCACATGAAACCTCTACAGTTATTTAAATAAGAGGCCAACAGAATACCTTAACAACATAATTTAAACAGTGGTTTATTCAGATGCAACAAACACGTGTATAAGTCCCAGCAGTATGTGACACAATGGCACATGATAGTAGACACTGATAAGTAATACGAGAGATGTGACATTACTGACCAAATTCAATTTGTCACCCACTGATAGATGATGTCACTGTCACGGTTATTGCATAGCATGCCAGTAGCATCTACTGGCAGCATTTGGTTGTAGCACATACGATATACCACACTGAACAAACATCACTTTGTCGTGCCATTCACAAATGCTCTGTGCCGTGGCTCAGTTGTGTAGCTGGTGGGAGGAGCTTCATGTTGCTGGTAGAACGCTGAACCATTTGATCCACTGTGACCATTCTGCTTCTGCTGCTGATTCTGCTGTTTTAGTGTCTCAGCTTCCTCGATGGCTGCTTGCTGCAAATATAAATCACATTATTGCTGTGTGTATGATATCACTACTGAACATGAGCAGAAGTTTCTGTGAACTGAACTGCACTTATGTAACAACACTGTGTTTGTGAAGTGAGGTAGGGCTGCACGAAGCAAGCCATAGCATGCTTAAGTTATTCTTCATATCCTTGTACTTGAGCCAGTTCTCTACATAAAACTCGCTCTGCTTGCTGCCTGCTCACTTAGCATAACTCTTCAACCCTGAACACGGAGGTAGTATATTCCTCTGAAATATCAATAACTTCTACCAGACTACAAGATGTCACTTCTCAGAATATTGCACCATTTCTAATCACTGCTGTGAGCTCCTCAAATCCAACAAGCCCCTCTCTTGAATTGGCCTTGTCCTTTGCTGTAAATTATGCACATTAAACAAACTGTGAATATACTGTCTGCATTTCTAAATCTGGTGTCTGGGTTGTGAGTGAGGAGAAGTGAGCAGAACTATAGCAACAAGCAGCAGGGTGGTTACAACTGCATCATGAGAGACAGAGAGGGTGATGCCCTGTAACTAAGAGCCTGTTATAACCCATATACATTCTGCAATCCGAATTTTAGTCAGTGGACTCAACTGACTCCACTGGGCATTCCGCTGCATGCACACCATCTAACAACACAGACACACCACAGCGGCCCGGGTTCGATTCCGGGTCTGGTCAAGTGGGATTTGTGGTGGACAAAGTGGCGCTGGGACAGGTTTTCTCAGAGTACTTCAGTTTCTCCTGCCAATCTTTATTCCACCAATTGCTCCACAATCACCCTCACCTATCATCTGCGGCTGGTACAATAGGCCAGAAGTGGCTGCAGTGCAAGGGACTTAGTCCCACCCCACTAGCAATAAAAAGAAAAACACAGACAACAACTTACTATCATACACACAAACACATGAACATGCACTCACATTTGCAGCATAGCACACTGGATGACAGAGGTCAACACTGTCTAGGTTTTCCAAATACTGAAGACTAATTTTCATTTTGTGCATCCTGTTGTGTTATTATATACAACTCTTTATTGGAGTCCATCATAACACAACAACATAACAGTCAGGGTTAATATTACCTTAGTTACATGTTTCGGCTTTTGAAGCCATCATCAGGCAAAAGACATGATTACTATATTCACACACTATTGAACTGCAATTTCATTGTGACAGTAAAGCTGGATACTTGATAACTGTTACATTACAAAACACAAGATATATAAATAAAATGAATTATAAACTTTTTTAAAAAATGAAAGTAATGGAATAAAATATGGTTAAAAACCCTTCACGTGATATTGCATATCATGAAGTCAGTTGTATATGTCCCACTGATATATGGTATATTCTAGACTTGTATACATATAGTAAACATTTGGAGGCCCACGGTATAGATATACGTAGTATTATTTGACATTAATTGTCTGGCCAGTGTCTCATTTTACAATGTATTTTGTCTGCTCTGTCGGGAATACAGATTGCAAAATATGTTGTAAAATGAGGCACCGGCCAAACAATTAATATCAAATAATACTACATCTATACCATGGGCCTCCAAAGGTTTTCTACATGTACTCGTACACAAGTCTTGAAAATACCATATGTCCGTGGGAATATAACAAGATTGCAACAACTGACTTAATGACATGCAATATCACATGAAGAGTTTAAAACCTTATTTTATGCCATAACTTTCATTTTATAATAAGTTTATAATTCATTGTATTTTTACACCTTGTATTTTATAATGTAACAGTTATCAAGTATCCAGCTTTACTGTCACAATGAAATTGCAGTCCAATAGTGTGTGAATATAGTAATCATGTGCCAGTCACAGTAGCCTAGCGGTCTAAGGCATGTACTGTCTTCGCTCGCTTGGAAACCAGGATCATGGATTCAAATCCCACTCAGGGCATGGATGTTTAGTTTGTATGTGTGCATTTTTATGTGTTTGTGTACAGGTAGAGGCCTTGCGACGAGCTGATCATCTGCCCAAGGAGTCCTACCAAATGTGTAAGATCTAGAAAAACCGAAGTGAACGGAGAAGTTCATGGAGGTAGGCCTAGGCCCATTGGGGCTGTAGTGCCAAGGAAAAAAAAATAGTAATCATGTCTTTTGCCTGATGATGGCTTCAAAAGCCGAAACATGTAGCTAAGGTAATATTGACCTTGACCGTTATGTTCTTGTGTTACGATGGACTCCATTACAGAATTGTATACTGAAGACTGCTTCATGTACAGATGCCCAGAAAAGAACCATAGATAAAAGCATGGACCTGCAATGCCCATTCTTATACATCTTACCCTTCTTTGTGCCTTCTTCTTGTAGGCCTGCTTGTAGAAGTCTGAGAATAGGAAGTAGAACATTACAGCATGGAGACCAATCCACCAGACGAATGCCTTTGGATAGTTGCAGTCAATAAAGAGCAGCTGGAAGGCATGGATCATCACAAGCACAAACTGCACCTGAGGGCAAGTTACAGCTTCAGCAGATGGGCCACACATCACATTATTACAATACATCAGCTGCCTACATTTATTTAGTTTTCCTACTGAACATTACATTTACATTTGAACACATAGTTATGCATTTTTTCTATATGAGTTTCGGAGTTGTCATGATGGGAAGTATGAAGATTGTGGACTTCTTGGATATAGTATCATAAGTAGATAGATACATTCAGGGGGAAACGTCTGCATCCAACTTCAGCATAATCTTACCCTGAAGATGGGGGCATCAGATTCCTCCAAAATATTGCTTCCTATCTACCACAGTATACAGCACAATATCACAGAACACCTTGATCTTGGATCTTTGTACACATGAAAATTCAGATAAAACCACTAAAAGATATCCAACTCAGAGATTGGAACTTTTCTGAACCATTATGTTAGCACATTCAACCCTTTAAAACACAGTGGTAACTACATGTACCACTTGCTTTACCATACTAAAACTCTGCATTCTACAGACAGTGTGTCTATATGTTTTGTATGGTTCTCACAACAAACAACGATTATTTCCCTGAGCAGCAATAGCTGGTTGGGCTTTGTTGCAGGAATGTACTCTATCTTCTGTGAGGCAGGAACTATATTCATGAAGGCTGTTTAGAATTAATTCATGTGGAAATATAAAGGAAACCTCAAATACTGCACAGCAGCACCACAAGGATTTTCTGCAAGAAAGGCATATTATGCAGGGAGAATAGCCACAACATTTGCCTGAAAAGTTTTGTTTAACCAATTTAAAGTATATTTACTGGTCTCACTAGTATTCCGAATAGAAGAATTCTTTTGAATACTTTTAATTTGTTGCGTTAGTATTTGCTAATTTCCTTGTTTCTCAAAATTTGATGTTGTTTTAAAAAAAGACATGTGGTGGGACAGATTCCTGGTTTGTCCCCTTCTGTCAGTGACCATGTTACTGTCAGTTATGTTCATACCATCTGCAGAAGAGTGAGGTATTTCTTCCACCAGAGGTACTTCTGGAAGCGAGGTCCCAATGCAGCAAACAAGTAGTACGCATACATAATAATGTGAACAAACGTGTTGAGCATTCCAAAGAAGGTGCTGTGACCGCCTGGAAGAAAATCACAATAGCAGAATGCTCAGACCTGTGTGAGTGTAACATTTAATTTGGAAATACTCATTACACAACATACTACATCCTACTGTGGTTATCAGTACTACACTGTGCTCCACACTTACAGCACCAACGTTGCAAACAAATTTGATGAATTTGAAGATCTTATGGTTCTGATGGCACTCTGGATTGTAATGCCATGTAGTTCATGGAAAGCCAGATGCTTCAGAGGATTACACTGCCTTCATCTTGAGAGCTGGATCAGCCTGCCACCTACTTCTGCTGGTTTTCTCTTTTCTCTGGAAGATGAGGTGATATACTCTTCCAAAACGTCTATCTTTCTCTGACCTACATGGCATTATAATGCAGAAGACTGTACTCTTCAAAAAACTTAATCAAAAATACCTAACCTCACTACACTGAAAATTTTTGGAGACATATTTACATTTATGCTATGACAAACAATCTGACACAATAACAATATGCTGCTGTTCTCTATAATTCAGATCTCCAGCTGTACTTACTACAGATACCCCCTCCACTGATCAGCTTGATCAGCTCTCTTATACATTAAATCACAGTTTCACTGTATATGTATGTACATGATACATGATGGAGATTTCTTCTTACCAAAAGCCAAGACTGCAGTGCCAACTGAAGCGTTGGTGAACCTATCTCACTGCTGTCTGTGGCTAATTCCATAACTATTACTACTAATGTCTTCTGTTGGGAACATCATGAGGACATCTGAACATGTCTGAAGCATCTGTATGTACACAATTCAAGGAATTTGTGTGCAAGCTCCACATAGTGTGATTCCCTGATAAAAGGACAAATCTGAAATGACTCTTAGTTTTTGAGAAACATGTCAACTTCAAATGGTGCAACACACTTCTCAGCAGTATTATTTGTCTCATGTGATATCACACAGGAATTGGTGCTATCAAAACCGAGGAGCCTCGAAGTTCTTCATGACAATCAATTGCATCCATACCACTACCCACAAAATGCAAATCTGTTTCCAGATGACTGTCCTCTACAGATGCAATTTTGCGAATTGCTATGACATTAAAACACTGCAGATGAGATCTTTTTACAGAACATTCTGTTGGAAAATGCCCTGTTTTATGCATGAGGATGAGTTCAACGTCCATGGCATTCACCTCTGGGCATGTGATAATCTTCATGCTATTTGAAAATGTGGTATGAACTTCGCTTCACTGTCAGAATTTCAGCTGAAATTGTTGGGGTCACTGCAGCAGGCCCCTATCCTCTACCTGGCAGGCTGACTGCTGGCTGATATTGCTATTTCTAGAAACTGTTCTACTGGGGCTGCTTGTAGATGTGGCTCTATCTGTGGTTTCAGTAAAATGTAGCACCAGTGCAGTATGGGGAACATGCTCGGCTGTGTCTGAAAGTGACATAAGCACGAAGATAGACTGGACATTGAGGGCTGATTGCATTCCCTCCTTGGTCGCCAGATCTAACTCCAATGGACTTTCTCCTTGTAGTGACAAATGAAGGAACATATTTAAGCAGTCCTCCCAGAACTATCGAACATCTCGTGACAAGATTTGAAGGAGGTGTGACAATGGTCAATGCCAACATCTAAAGGTGTGTTCAATAGAAAGCCATGCTATGCGCTGCCCTCTTGGTTTAAATGGAGGGGAACTGCTTCAAACACATATTGTAACTATAAGGCACCAATGGTTTGATGATTTGACAGCTTATGCCATTACACAATGGTTTGTACCTTAAAAATTAATGTCACAAGACACTGTATTGTACATTATTTTCAACTTTTTTTAACAACTGCTTCAAACACATATTGTAACTATAAGGCACCAATGGTTTGATGATTTGACAGCTTATGCCATTACACAATGGTTTGTACCTTAAAAATTAATGTCACAAGACACTGTATTGTACATTATTTTCAACTTTTTTTTAACAAGGAATCACATTTCATAGAGCCTGTGAGCAAATTTCTGTTCAAGATAGATTTAGCAATCGCGATTTCACTGATATACATATTGTGAACTTCTGAAGTTCTAGAAAGACAAAAACATGTATACTAAGCTACTATACTTGATAGAATATGCATTAAGCAAAGGTGCTATCTAAATGTATATTAAGAACGTTCTTTGACAAGGGTAGATATTGCAATACCACATCCAGTACAACTTCCACTGTTGTCTACTGCTACCATGTTCTGCTCCAGTTCATATCTCTGACTACTGCTATGAGTACATAATGAGAAAAGATTAATCAGTAGCCTTTTATACCTATGGATTGTAAAACTATAGTATGTCTTTGTTTTCAACTTGACTGTGCCTTAATAATATGCCTCAGACAATATCTGCCATTCCTCAACTCAATGAAATGGTCTTCTCCTTATTGTTATGACTCATCTGGGTGAGGTTTAAGGAGACACAGCTTGAAGTTGGCCCAGACAATCTACCCAGAGACAATAAATGAACGTGACCATACCTGGTGTGAATTTAACTCCAAACCAGACGCTCATTGGCATTATACCATGGTGAATCACATGCAGAGTGGAGATGTGGTCATTCTTCTTGCGTAGAACAAAGAATATCTGCAAGAGCCAAGACAGAATTTATTCAATCTGAGGCTCTTGCAATGGTGACTTTGAAGACTAAGAGAGAAGAGCAAGCCAAATTAGCAAGCAGCAAGAAGGGCAAGCTGTAGACAGAGTCTGCAAACAGATATATGGTCCAGAGTTTCAATGCAAGGCTGGCTTTTATTGACCATGAAGATGGAGGCAAGATGTTTTCATGAAACATCAGTAAATTTCTACAAGACTACACACTGCTACATCACACATGACAGTAGCCTTCAAGTTAGAATTTACATGGTAATTCTCTTAGCTTAATCCAGAAATCTAGTAATTCTCAGCATCATCATGCTAAAAATAAACTTACCGTATCAAATAACTCCGTGAACTTGGATACATAGTACCACCAGCACCCCCTCGCCATCTGCAGCAAAACAAATGCTTCTTAACCGAGTGTTGTTATGGCAGGTGTCCTGGTTTACCTCTTCAATGCTCTGCTTCAAATATTACCAACTGTTGGCCAATACAATCATTTTAACTAACTTCATGAGGAGAATCCTTTTTGGGAAGCTGATGGTTGCTCAGATATTCAAAAAAATATTCTGCCTTTTATAGAATCTGCAGGTTCTTTATTGTGTTCATATGAGCCTACCAATGGAACTTACCCTAAGCCCGATAAATCCTGTAGACTCTCAAGCCCTGCCTCCTTAAGGTCCTTCTTAATATTATCCTCCCATCTCTGCCTTTGTCTTGTAAGTAATATCTGCCCTTCAGTTTTTTATTAAAGAAATGCATACATTTCTCAACCATCCCTTGAATGCTAAACGTCCTTCAAATTTCATCGTCCTCAATTTCATAACCCTAGTAATATTTGGTGATGAGTACAAGTTACAAAACTCCACATCATGCAGTTTTCTCCACCCTCCTGCCACTTTCCACCTCTTAGGTCTAAATAATCCCCTCAAACACCCTCAGTGCTTGTTCTTCCCTTATGTGAAAGAACCTCTTACCCTCAATGCTCTGGGACTGTTGGAGTAATCAACCGGCTGACACCTGTAGCTGTAGTGGAACAGCCATCCTGCAGCCAGGCTCTGCACACACAAGCAAACACGTCAGCAGTTCCATCTGTCTAGTTACTTCAGTTTATTGACTTAAAGAAAAACGCTATTTCCTCACGCTGTAACCAGACAAGTGCTGGATCACTGCTGAAGCCCCCAACTTACAGACTGAGGATATGATAATGTGCTGCCTATTCAGGACAGTGATAGATGCGTATGAAACAATGGTGGAAACATGATCTGGAGCAGGAAATTGAAGAAACTGTGAGAGAAACGTCCCCCAGTGCTGTTTTGTCCACAACAAATGTTATATAAAGTCATCCAAGATTCAATGCAAGGCTCTCCAGTGAGAAGTAAGCGCCCATTGCCTCAACTGTGATGCAGCCAAGTTTATTATTCGTTAATTTTAGAATGCCCTAACAATCACAGAAATTACAAAGCTGGAAGGATGATTATTAAATGTAAATTGAAAAAAAGCAACTGAGACCTATTCTGACTTCTTACTTCTTCTGCTTTAGCCTTCTGCAGCTCAAGTTCATCTACATAATATTTAAAAATTCAGTTCCTACAGCATAGAAAACACACTGTATTTTCATTACAAAAATCAACTAGTTACTGCTGTGTACAGAAATACAGCCACTTCTAAATTTACATGGACTTTATTTAAGTGTTTTTGCAATTATATGGTTGTGATATTAACACAATTTTTTATTATTTTTTATATGTTATTGTGTTTTTATAAATGGCCTGGTTTGAATTTCTTGAAAGGCAATTACACATTCTTTCATGAATGCTGTATGGAAGCAACAATGCACTAAGTGCAACATATGAAGCTATTCTCTGTGCATGAGGATGTATCTAAAACCAGGATAGATACTGATGACCTAGCAAAGAAAGCTCTGGCAAGAGATTTAGATGATGTGAAGGAGTTACTAAACCTGTACAGTGAGGAATTTCTGCTGAGAATTCGGCTCGGCTTGAGAAGTAACACCAGCAGGAACATGAGGGGGAGGGCACAGCACTGGCTTAGGTTGTGTGTATGCTCAAGACCAAAAGATTGGTGGAGGCATTCTGCCTGTTTGAGGAAGGTCTTGCGATCTTAGATGGAGATGAACCTACCGGTGAGTGAAGTTCATAGGTATCAAGAAATGTTTTAGCAGCCTTGCAGTGTTACACTGAAATTCTAGAACAAAAGAATGTGAAATCCTATCAAATACTGGCTTCCTTCTTTAGGAAAAAAGAAACCATCAAGCCACCTGAACCATAACCCTCTATCTCAGACAATTTGAAAGCCAAACAGTTGCAATTTCGCCTCTTGCTTCTCCACCACCATCGCTTGCTGGATCACCTGACGCAGGTGAGACCCCTCCTCAACAACCACACCTCTCCATTACCATCACCACCAACAAGTCACCTCAGGCAGCATTCAACTTATTGTTAGCAAAACATTTCAGTTAAGAGTCATTTTATTATTCAAGACAGGTGTTTTAATATCTCAGTCTGTATAGCGAAGGGCTATGGGATGGATAGCCAGGCTTCCATTCCCAACAGGGGCAAGATTTTTCTTTTCTCCACAGCATCCAGACCGGTTCTCAGGCACACCCAGCCTTGTATCCAATGGGTACCAGAGGCAAATTCCCCAGGGGTAAAGTGGGGTGAGGGCATGAAGTTGACCATTCACCTCCATCTTATGCCAAGGTCAAGAATGGTCAAGCTATAAATCCACTCCCCCATATGTCTTCATGGCATAGAGTTTAATTAATTAAGCACAGGGACAACTTCACCTACCCTTTTTATGATCAACAACAAACATGAAAAAATTTCAAGCATGCTTTAAATTGAAACTCAGAGAAGCAAAGGCAGTTTCTCGCCTAACCCCTATCATTTCGTTTATTTATAATGGCAAAATTATGCTTGATTTAAGCATCTTTATCCACATGCCCATGTTCAAGAATGCAACTACTGCTTATATTGAGAGCCAACTGTAATTGCTGTTTACTGGAAAACACAATACATGGAAAAATGTGGAGACTGTTAATGTAAAAGCAGACTGTACATAAGAGCAACACTGAGTTAAAGGGCTAAATAGTATTTCAATTATGAAACTGCAATTATGCCTTCTATAAGTTTACATGAATTCATGGACTGAAAAACTTGGCATTTTGTCAGCTCGCCTTCATAATCCTACAGGTTTTCTACCAGCACTGTATCAACTGCAGACACAGCTTAGCATGGAATAAAGTGGGAACTTATCTCTTATTTGACACAGAAGTACTGAGGACAACAAGCAAATGCATCTGGAGGGTGTTCAGCAGTGTTGCCAGCATTCAAATTTGAAACTTTCTAAACACAAATGAGAGGCGTGAGTTGATCAAGCTCTCTGTTCTGCAGTTACCTCATAGAAAATCCACGCACTGAAAATCACTTGCAGAAAGTTGTAGACAATAAGCACGCCTCGTAGGTTCATTGGTTTCCTGTTGTCCATGATCCGGGGGCCGAGTACCTTGACAAAGTAGGCATAGCTCAGGCAGATGGCCAGTGTCGGGAAAGGACTGCTCATCAGTGGCCAGTCATTCACACGTGGATCTGCGCACAATTACAAAACTTTATGATGACAAGAATAATAGATGGTAATTAAAAGCACAAACATCTTATCATTTCATGACCAGGGTTCAAAACCATTTGCCCTAAGACTGTTTGCCTCATACATAATTCATTGTCACAGTTTTGTATGTTGCATCCTTTTAGTGAGTTCACTAATAATTATAAGTTTCCACTGTAAAGAAAGAATGGCATGGTAAATATACACAGTATGAAGAAACTCAGGAACCTCTTCATTTGTAACCTGAAATATTTTTACTAGATTCATCAAGAGTCAAAGAAAGTTTCTACTCTCAAAGTCATCCATCAAATGTTCTCTTCTTTAATTTCACTGTTTCAATTCATCACCTGCTATCATCCTGTCAGCTGAATGTCCATGGTGACTGCTGCACTTGAGAAGAAACTGTAAACAGAGAGTCTTACTGGTGGCACACAACAGCACTGACCACACTTTCCACCGAACATATAAAACGGAAAGAGGTGAAAGATATTTTTCTCTTCTTCAGAGGGTCCAGATCAGGCCAAAGGCCCACCCAGACTCCTATCCAATGGATAACAAGGGTTATTTCCCTCAAGAAGGAATTTGTTCCATGGAATTATTTATGATGAATTTTATCAAATTAATCAACATATCTCTGTACATAGTCCACTTCTCTGTTCCAGAACTGTGTTGTGCCTAATGAACACTTTGTCATGTTGTGACATGATGTTCCTATAGCAGAGACCATGAGATTTTCTATCGACTGGAGTAGAATCATGCTGCCTCCATCTTCAGGGTGGAGAAGTAATCTGAGAATTGAAGAGGGTGGTTCTGATATAGGGAAGGAGGCCCAGTACATGAGGACCAGTAAGAGACACAAAGAGATGTACTGATGGAAAATGTAGTAGGAGAAATAGAATAGGACAAACAGGAATTGAAATTAAATGGATATGAATACAAAAAATAAACTCATAGGGTGAAGTAATTAGATTAGATCAGATCAAAATGGTGGGAATTAAATGATATTTGAATGTACAAATGCTGGTGGGAGGGAGGGGGAAGGCAAGCCAGGCATCTGTGTCTTCTCCTGGATTTTTGGAAACAGAAATCAAAATAGAGAAAGAAAGTAAAAATTCCAAATATGAACACTATAATCGAAAATATTATTGAAACAAATAAACATCCTATCCTGCATACTCTAGGATAATGGTCTAGTTTAAATACAAGTAAATATTCTGGTTCCCTCCCCAGGAATGAATACTGGTGGCACTCGTGGTTGTATTGTGCATGTCTATACTGAACATTACCCCTTTAGCCATCCATGCACAAAAGCGAACTATTTTGCTTAATGCGAGGTTCACCAATCACTTGGCATCGGCGAGAACCTCACAGTCACACAGGCTACACGTATGTGCGAGTGTGTGTGTGTGTGTGTTGGGAGGGGGAGTTCAATTTTTGCCATGTGGGACTACTCACTGATCCAAGTTTGAACTACTGTCCCTACAAGTCATGGCATCCCATCGAAGTCTCAGCCAGTTCGTGCTGAGCTTCAGCAGTTTCCTAGTTCTTCAAACAAAAGAGTTCAGAAAGGAAGCCCGCTGGATGTTTGTGTCCAGGCGTGATGCCCCCCCAAGTGCTCTCTGCTATGCACATAGCACCTCTCTTGGAGTACTAGCCCAGATTGAGCTCTTGCTAACTGTAGGGTAAATTACTATCACAATTTGCTCAAAGGAAGAACTATGGAGCCAGAGAAACGGCCACTGCTATGTAACGGCTGTGTAACAAGTAACAATGGAGTAACTTTTGGAAGCTGTGCTTTCTGTGCGGTCCGCGCCAAGGTTTCTGAGCGAGGACCAACTTCAATTACGGGAAAGCCTTGAGACGGCAATTAGAAGAGTAGGATGTTGGTGTGCGACGGATGCCCGTCTGCGAGGACGTGAGCCCGGGAGCAGAGGAACGTCCGCTGTTGGAAGCCGCTACTAAGCAGCGCAATGAAGACCGTGACTAAGAACACTAGTCTTTATGTGATAGTGACTTGTAAAGTGTAGTCAAGAGTTGTTTAAGAGTCCAGTAAATCCGATTACCAATCCAAACCCCGTCTAGTCATTCGATCACGTGACAGTATTCTCATTCCACATTAGCCGAACTTTCATTGATGTCCTACTCCAATATCTTCTCTAATTACCTCACTTTGTACTTTATTCTGAAGAAGGTACGGTAATGAAGTAAAATGAACAAGGGAAAGAAGTGGAAAAGGTGCAGAAACAACGAACGGCAAACGAAAACAAAAGCAACACAAAACAGAGAGAGCGAGACAGGAAATCAAAATAAGAATGATAAAAATAAAAATGAAACCTTTGTTAAGTACCCCTTATTTCCACGCTCAGTTTAATCTTCTACTCTGGAGATTGAGGCAGCTGGTTCCTCCGAAACGTCGGTACATATCTACCAGACTACACGGCGTCACATCCCAGAAGACAGTAATGATCACCTTGTGAAACGGAACTCACCACTTTTATTGTTCATGATGTCACGGTAACCATCGATTAACGTCCGTACCAGCTGCGCCATCTTGCTTCACCTTCCTGCAACAAAAAAGTCAACAATCTAAGTACGTACTTAGCAATCCTCTAACGACGAGAAGGCGATGCAAGTGGTCGGTAGCATTGGTCGACTTTCGCCACTGTACTGTAGGTTTAGGAATACATCGAGCTTCAGTGCGCTAGAGGCGACGAAAATGATGTCAGTGTTTCCAGCCTGTCCAGTATATGCAGGCGGCCTCGTACCAGTATATACGGTATTTACGCAGTCCTCTGGTTGTGGCTTCACAGACTTGGTGGACTGGCAGTTCGGCAGTGATGCCACGCAGACAAGCAGAAATCCACTGCCACAAGCAACAGGGCTGATCAGGCCGACATTCAGTTTCTCTGATATGTTGATAAATATTTACCAGACTACACGGCGTTACATCAGAGAAGACCGAACTCATATTTACAGTTGCAGTTATATCAAATCTCATTCACCGGACTAGACTTTACATTAAATTAATTTTTCCCATACGCCAGAAGAAACTTTTATAATATAACTTTTCGCTCGAGGACAGGGTGCTCAGGTGAATACTTGGACCTGGAGGGTGGAGAGAACTGCGAAATGAGGAGATACATATTTTGTACTGCTCGCTAAATATTAACAGGAATGAAACAATAGAAATGCGTACAAAATTGTGGTCGGAAAACGTCTAATAATTGGGCCCTACGGTGGATTATTGTGAACATGTTAGTGGGCGTTTCAGATCCGTAAGGGAAGCGGAATTCTTTCACCAGCTGAACAACTACTGGCTTCTCAAAAAGGACTGTGTACCATGGAGCCAGTTATTTTGGTTTCCGAACTGTCTCTAGTTACATAGCCTCGGGGCGGATCGCACAGAAAACGCCGCTTACAACAGTTCTTCTATTGTCGCGTACGTAAAGGTGGCCGCGGTCACGTGATTTTACTGAGCCAACTACCAAGCACAGGACGTGTTTGCAAAGCCATTCCCCAGCAACGGTTATCTCTGCTGGCTTCACAATCCTGACTTTCAGCAGACATGCCACAATATGTAATGTACTCGTAGGTGGTAAACATCTTTCAGTGTGCAGACTGATACAATATTACGAAAGAGTATGTGGGCTGCGGGTTGAAAACCCCTGGGATAACTCTCTGTGGACAGCCCGTTATTCGCTGTCACGTCGTTCTGTAAAAACCTTATTATGGCAGAAGTACCAAGTGACAGTCACAAAGCTACTGCATAACAGTCACGTGATCGCTGTATTCACATCACCTCAGATCGATGTCTTATGCAATCTCCAGACATTTAGCCCTCTGAGTTTACCTTTCCAGTCGTACGAAGGACACGATATATTTAAAATGATTATAGAGGTAGGACATCTAGATCCATCTAGATCGCATGGGAAGGAATGCGTAATAGGCTTTGGTAAGGAAATCTCGGAGAAAACATGTTCAAGACCGAATGAGATAACTAGGCGTGAAACTGACCGATAGATTTCGATTAAATTTGGTATTGGGTGACAAAAGTAAAAGTTGCAGTTTTAATCAAATTTTGGTTCAAGTTTCTCCAATATGACATTTACTTTAAATGATAACAACACTTCCTCGATAATCTGGAAACCGGCTCATCGTAAGAATACTCGGTACATGACGTACCCACTGGGCGTAATTAAGATCTACAGCTTTGTTTGAAATATTTTTTGGTGTGATGATCACTTCTCTATAGTATATGGAAAAATATTTTGAAACCCCGTACGGTACGGTTCGTCATGCAACGACATGTTTCCTGTTGCAATACAGGAACATGAGTGTACTTACTTGCTTTATTTATTGCTAGTGGGGTGGGACTAAGTCCCTTGTACTGCGGCCACTTCTGGCCTATTGTACCAGACCCAGATGATAGGTGAGGGTGATTGTGGAGAAACTGGTGGAATGAAGGTTGGCAAGGGAAACCGAAATACTCGGAGAAAACCTGCCCCAGTGCCACTTTGTCCACCACAAATCCCACTTGACCAGACCCGGTAAAGAACCTGGGCTGCCGCGCTGGGAAGCCAGCGACTAACCGCTTGAGCTGTGGCGCGGCCTACTTAATTACTTACTTACTCATGGAGCTGAGCCCGCCTTGAGGAGCCGCGAATTCTGCAGATACTCAAGAATTTCCTATCATCTTATGGGAAGTTCCAGTGCGGCCACCGAACAGTGCGGACGCGTTCTGAGTATTGCAGCGTCTTTATTGTGAAAGTGACGACTAGTTAGTTCAGTGCACTAGCCAACTCAGTGCATACATAAAATGTTTCAACAAACACCATACACAACAAACGGTTACACAGTGGACCAAAGTTATATTTCAAATGGGCAGCTGCAAATGATGCAACAACAACAACAATTAATTCAACAAGAACAACACTTAGTGCAACAACAACAACAACAACAACAACAACAACATTTCGTACCTCAGCCGTTCTATCCATTCCAACAATCTGGCTACAGTATTACTCCTGTTCAGCACACCAATTATAGTGCATCGTCCTTTGTGACTCCTCGACCCAGCCAACAAGCTCAAAGCCTAATAAATAATCCAGCAACAAGAAATAACACCGAAAAAAGACAACCTGAAGGGGCACAAGGAAGTACAAATGAAACTACGACCCAGTATACGTGGCAGACAATAAAAAAATGAGGAGAAACAGTCCAACTCCAGAAGACGGAGCACAGCGACCTGAAGTCAACTGCAATAACATGTAGGAGCAACTCTCGCAAATACAAAATGACGATAATGATGATGTCATACTCATGGACATAACAAATAATACCCAATCAAAAGAGAAAACCAGTGGTCTAAGGGATCCTAAGCCTCCCCCAATATTTGTTTACGGAGTAACAAACTTCAAAGATATGGTGGCGCATTTATCCGCAACCATCGAAGAGGACCAATACTACTGTAAGGTACAATCAAACGATACAATCAAAATACAGGTGACAACACCAGAATCCTATCGTAAATTAATTAAACAACTACAGGATGATAAAATTATATACCACACATACCAATTGAAACATGAAAGAGCCTATAGAATAGTTATTAGGAACCTGCATCACTCAATACCAACAACTCAAATAACAGCAGAATTAGAGAAGTAAGGCCGTAAGGTAAGAAATATACTAAACGTTAAACATCGTATAACAAAGAAACCTCTCCCCTTATTCTTCACAGACCTAGAACCAAAAGAAAATAATAAAAG